CGTGTTTACGTTAAGGTGCACTACCATGTGCAGCTAGGCTAGGACTGGCATGCAAGCCACTCACAGTAATTATCAACAACATAAAATGCCTAGAGCAAAGGCACAAGATCTTGAGGAGAGCTTGCCATATACAGATGCAAGAACGAGTTGGTTTTCTGGGAGTTTGTCTTGCTTTCTGGTTAACTGCAATGTCCCAGGTTTGCCAAGAGGCTTCTAGTACAGTACCTCTCTCCCTTCCTATCAATGTGTGGTTATTTACTGCTCTGACTTCTCTCTTTGCAATTTTGTCCCCAGCCGATATTCACGTTTGGGGCTTCTGGATATGCTTCACATTTGGGGCTTCTGATATGGGTGTGGTGGTGGTGGGTGTGGTGGTGTTGGGTGTGGAGGTGGTGGGTGTGGTGGTGGTGGGTGTGGTGGTGGTGGGTGTGGTGGTGGGTGTGGTCTCTTGGTCTCCTGCTTGTCTCTTGTTCCTTGTTGGACATAGCTTGGTCTCGCTGTTCATGAGTGTGCTGGAGCCTGCAGCTGCCATTATTTACCAGGGGTCTATTCTCTTGCTGTCAACTGCTCGGAGCCCCGCTTTCTTTCAACTATTTAACAAAGACCCTGTTCTACCATTCTTTTCTGATGGGTAAGCCCAGGTCATCTTTTCCGATTTTTAAATACAGTAACACCATCCTCTTCTACCGAGGCACCATTGAGAGTAAGCTCTTCAAGCTACCAAGGTATCAATCTCAGTTAAGAGTTGCATAGTCTCATATTGCTCACCAGGTCTGTAAGCCAGGTCATGTACTCTATATGGCATATCACCATGTGTGTACTGTATTTGTAAATACTGTACTTAATAAATTCTAGATCTTCGACCATGCTCGGTAACTATTTAAGCTTAAAATAAAATATGAGAAATGATAAATAAAATTATTATTCTAAAATAAAATGAGAAATAGCAGCTCTAAGACTCTTGACTTGAGAAATCATTTATCTAACAAGAATGTGCCAGGGATGTGAGTAAGCATCCTTGGTGGTGCATCTGACAATAAGATACAAGGTTTTATTCATCTATGCATGGGGTTATTTTACCCTGCCAACATCAGTGTACCAGATCACCAGGCCGACATTGAGGCAATGAGCAATTGATGCAGCGTCAAAAAAAAAAAAAAAAAAAAAAAAAAAAGGGAGGGGGAGAAAGGCAGGGGTAATTGAGAATTTTGAATGACTATTCAATTGGGGCCTATGAGAAGCTGCACCATAGTGGTAATGAGTTAAGACATTGGTCAGACAACAATTATTATTAGAGAAATGGTAATCTGTCTAATTATACAAACACCTCCCACCACATCTGTAATCCCCCCCCCAATAGCTTCCCTGCTTGTTCCCTTCTTCCCTATGGGCTTTTGTACAGGTTGTGCCAGTGAGGGAACAGGCTGGCTATGACCCCAGGTGACATGGATTGCCTCCTGGTGGCAGACTGGCACATCACAGAAAGGGTATTTAACCTCCCCCTCCCCCCACATCATTTGCCTGGTTTATCTGGCAGGGGTGCGGGGGAGCTAATTTTATACAAGCAGTCACTTACTTTGCTCTGCCTATGCCTTTTGGTCAGTTTACCTGGCATTGGTCGATCTCTAATCTACAACCATCACTTGTCCTCGACACAGTACAAAACAATAAAATCTGCCCATAGTAGGAAAGCATCATGTAAAGGATATGGGAGTAATGATGTCTGATGACCTAATGTTTAGGGAGCATAACCAAGCAAATGTAGCATCGACTAGAAAAATTATAGGATGATATACAAGAACCTTCAAATCCAAGGATCTCATCACAATGCTCGTACTATTCAAATTGCTTGTGCTGTCCCACTGAGTACTGCTCTATGCTCATTTCTCACCTCAGAGCAGGAGAGATTGCTGAAAGAGGGAACACAGAGAACATGTACAGCATGCATACACACGATAAAGCACCTAAACTATGGGGATCATCTCAAAGCTCTCAAAATGTACCCTAGAAAGGAGACGAGAAAGGTACCAAATTATACTGGGTATATGGAAAGTACTGGAGGGCTAGGTCACAAATTTGCACAGTAAAATAACATACGAGAGTGACCGATATGGAAGGAAATGCAGAATAGTCAGTGAAGAACAGAGGTACATTAGGCAAAAATCAGAACACTGTCTGAACATCAGAGGTTCATGGTTGTTCAATATCGTCCCAGCAAGATTAATTAATGTTGCTGGAACAAAATTGAAAGTCAAGGAAAATTTGACGGTTTTCTGCAAAAAGTGCTGAACCAACTGGGCTGTTGTGGATATGTGGGCCTGCAGGCTGCTCCAAGCAACAGTGTTAGACCAAGCTCTGACAAGTCGAGCCTGGCTCCAGCTGGGCTTGAGTAGAACAACTCCCAGACCCCATCCAGGTAAAACTTCATACCTAACACCAGATTTGTTATGGATTCTACCAATCTGTTATAAATATGACAAACTAAAAAACCATAATACTAGAGTTTTCACCTTTCCAATTAGGTAAAAACAGAAGCTTTTTTTGGTAGTGGTAATTCGAGAAAATGAGCTGTTGCCAAAGAGCTAGAGTTTGGTCCTGGCTTACAACAGGCAACAGCTGGGTTCTCATGAGGTCTGGTGCGTTAGGCTACAGCTTAATATTCCTTCTAAATATTCATGAGGCAGTTCAAAGTTATGCCTTGCCCTTGAGCACAGCTAACAGTGGCTTAGTGACGGTGACAATATATATTTTACCACAGGTTCATTTCACATACTTCTTATGTGAGCCAAACTCTCTAACTATTAATTAAACCGTACCATAATTGTTTGTTAATGTTTTGTCACATACATAAACCATTAACATTAATCTGCATTTCTATGGTCATTTTAAAAGGGCAAGTGAACAAATATCAGTACATCGAGTCCCAAACACACTAACAATGCGTCCCAAAAATGCACTCGGAACACTCAACCACATTTCTCATAGAAACACTGCAATAAATAAGGAAGCATTTTCAGAACACCAAAAACTAAAATTTAAAACTCCAAATTTTGGGGAAAATAAGGTAATAAACTACATTTTTGTTTTCCCATGAACGATGGTTGTCTTACTTATCAGAAGTCACAATTTTTGAAGAGTGAAAGGCCTAGTTATACCACTGAAGTTAGTAGTGGTGAATAAGCAGTCAAGATGGGTGGACAATCCTTAATGTCACTGGCTTCTAAAGATGTAAGAGATGATGCACTATAAAAGCCTTACAATTACTTCAATATTATGTAAAATTGACAGCCTTGAATCTATTGAACCATCCACAACTTCCCATGGACAGTATATATCGATAACAATTAATTTCATCTGTAAATCTTGAAATCTATTTCTAGCTTTCTCCTGATCAAGATTTCTTCATCCTTTCAGGTTCCTCAATACACAATATTAGTTTTGGGTGTGGGAAGGTCAATTGGCCAAATTCATTTACATTGTTAACCGTCATTGAATAAAAAATGTTTAGGGGATTTGGTATGAGAAATACTGAGAATCATGGGTGAAGCCTCTGTATATTTGGGTGCATCTGGTAAATAACCATTAATATTATATGTTGAAACTAACATTTTTGCTTGGTAAAATTTCACCGAAAATTATCGAAAAATGGAAGGGTGTGAATGGCATCTGGTTGATACCTGGTTGATGGGGTTCTGGGAGTTCTTTTATTCCCCAAGCCCGGCCCGAGGCTAGGCTTGACTTGTGAGTTTGGTTCACCAGGCTGTTGCCTGGAGCGGCCTGCAGGCCCACATACCCACCACAGCCCGGTTGGTCCGGAACATCTTTTATAATCTCATTTAATATTATTTGTAATGAGTTTTAAAATGACTAAATTGTGCAGCTATTTAAAAGTACATCATCAAGGTGTGCATATAAATTTTTTGTAACATATTAAGTGGAAGAATAGCAGATAGGAATTAAACTAGTGTCAGGGGTTAATAATTTTTCCTGAATTGTGCACATCATTAGAGAAAAAAAGGTTAGTACTGTACTGTATTCCTTTATTCCTCCTACACAGGGAAGCAAGGATAAATCGGCTATTGTAGAAGTATAAAATACTTCCTTCCCCTTAATTTTTATCTTTACTTTCTCCATTTTATTTGAAAACATATTTAAAATGCATTGTTTATATATAATTTTGGTGTCAACATATGGGCAAAGATGTGTTCTATTATTTGGAGTCAGAAAAACAAACATTTGACAAAATACTCAGTAGACCAAAATCCTGGGAGAAGAGGTTCAATGCCGATTAGTCGGTGCCTTAACATTGCAATGGAAATATTTTAAAGTTGCTCTCCTTGCTGTTGGAGAAAACATTAAATTCATTACATTTGAGATCAACTACGTTCTTTTAACATATGAAAAATCATACCAAGATGCACTTCTACAGATAGATAGATAGATAGATAGATATATATATATATATATATATATATATATATATATATATATATATATATATATATATATATATATATATATATATATGTCGTACCTAATAGCCAGAACGCACTTCTCAGCCTACTATTCAAGGCCCGATTTGCCTAATAAGCCAAGTTTTCATGAATTAATGTTTTTTCGTCTACCTAACCTACCTAACCTAACCTAACCTAGCTTTTTTTGGCTTCCTAACCTAACCTTACCTATAAATATAGGTTAGGTTAGGTTAGGTAGGGTTTGTTAGGTTCGGTCATATATCTACGTTAATTTTAACTCCAATAAAAAAAAATTGACCTCATACATAGAGAAAAGGGTTGCTTTATCATTTCATAAGAAAAAAATTATAGTAAATATATTAATTCAGGAAAACTTGGCTTATTAGGCAAATCGGGCCTTGAATAGTAGGCTGAGAAGTGAGTTCTGGCTACTAGGTACGACATATATATATATATATATATTCAAACTTTGCTGAATATGGCCTTTAATATAAATAGATGAAGTGGAACAAGGAAAAACAAAAGTTTGCAGGGTGTCAGTTTTGTTGACGTTAATTGAAACTGTTTGCTGACCAATCTTTGTTTCTAATGCTCCAGTGCTTACAGCAGAAAGTGGTATACAAGGTGGTGAAGGAGTTATACAATGTGCAATCAGAGAAAGGCTAGGTGATGGGTTTTCACAGGTGGGAGAGTGAAGTATTGGAGATCGATTTAGTGGTTAGAATACAGAAGGAGAAACAAATGTGATGGACTGCAAAATTGAAATCTGTTAAAATACTGAAGAGCAAGAAATTTAAATGTTTATGATCAGCATTCTAAAGTCCTGCCTTGTTTGGAGTTCAGTGCTAAATTCATATATAGTGTGAGGAGCTTTTGCTTTTTATGGCCAAAGAGCTTGGAAAGGATAGGGGAGGAAGAAGGGTGTGGAGATTCAATTCTTGGAAGAGGATCTGGATGTGGAGAGAGAAGGCTTGAAAGTTCAGTGGCCTATCCACCATGGGTTGACATGTTTTTTTGTAAGGAGCATTTATCAAATTAGTGAAGTGGTGCACCAGGGTTGTGTAATATCACCTTGGTCGATCATTACATAAATAGATGGGGGTCATGGTGGAGATCAGGGTACAAAAGGTGCAAACCTAAAATAATTCCTGTTGCGAGTCGAATGTGTAGACCACCGTGTTATACAGTAGTATGTTAAATTTGAATTACTGTATGCAAATAGTCATTCATTATTAGAAGGAGTTTACAGATTCGTGAAGACAGCTGAAAATTTGATTGATTCGAATAAAATCGGTTAACAGTGTTGGAGAGAGGGAAACTTATGAAACAAGTCTGAATGGTGAAATATTAGGCGATCAATCACTTAAATACCTGGTGCGAGTGATTGATGAGAGAAATGTGTGCAATATGACCCAATAATAGGGTGTGTGACAAGGAAGGACAGAGGCTGGAGCAAAGCAAGCCCAGCTTAGACTAGGCCTAAAAGAAGTAGATGCAGCTATATGCCGGTTTGAAACATTACTAGTGCCGACTCTTGTACAAGGCAACTGTGGCAAGAACGTGTAAACCCAAAGATAAAGAATGTGTAAACCGGTAAAAATAGGTATTCTGGGAAGCGTGAGTGGTATTAGCAGATTAGAGCACAAAATACAAATAACATGATGTGCAATTCAAAAGTCAACACACACCGCAAGAATAAGGAAAGTGTTCCGAGATGGTCAAGACATGTTGAAAGAATGCCTTGTAAAGTGATTGCATAAGGAAGCAAGGAGGGCAAACAGTGTCAGTTTTGCAACAAACTTATGTTTACTGAACTTGTGAAAGCAGTATTGTAACACTTAACCATCACCCTGAACGTTTAATTCAAGATGCTGTGAATTTCACCATTGATTTGTAGGCATGTACAAACCAGTATATAATTACCCGAAGGTGCTTAGCACAAATGAATTTCTTTTGCCTTAGCCCTCAAAAACTCAAACTGTATTATTATTATTATTAACAAGAGTTTGATAGTAACAGGAAAACATGCTTGTGTTATGTGATTAAAATTATTATCCATATATATATTAGATGACCATGGTATTTTATCTGACATTTTAAGACTCATCCCACAGATAAGTAATTAACTTTCTTTTTATTTACTTAAATGTTGAATTTTGTTTGGTTTCAGGATTAATTTAGCACTTTATTTTTGGCTCACTATTTACTAGATCTTAGCAAGTTTATTAAAAACTCGGTGGTATTCCTAGTTGCTGTCCAAGTTGCCATCATTTGTACATACTGTATTTGGTAACACTTCTGTGATTACACGACTACTTTAGCAGATCAGGCATTCAGTTAGCACAAACTAGCAAAGCCTTGCTGTACTACAATGAATTCTTAGCCATAAAATTATAGCCAGCAGGTGTTAAACTCACTTGTATTAGTCTTATATTCTTTCACCAAAGGCAAAGAGAGCGCCATGGAAAAAGAACTGTTACAGACACAAAATGGAATCCCAAATTTCCTCTCAAATTCCAAGTACTGTAGTTACAGCAACATTTTTTGTGCAATACCTTCATCAAAGCATTATGCAGTGCCTTTCTCCACTACCCAACAAAGCATCCAGTTTTGTGCCTGTTTTCTTGGCTAAAAAAAAACTACAGAGCGGTGCACAAACTCAAACAAGAAAAATACACAAGTGTGTGAAAGTCCGCACACTCCTAGTACATTCTGTCATACTTTGAACCCTTGGTGGCTGTTATGGCTTCTTCAAGGTTGTTGTCAAGCTTGTGATATTTGGCTCGACTAGATGACCTACGAGTTCTGCCACTTCTAGGTGCCCGACCTTCAATTATCAAGGCAATAATCTGAAAGAGGAAAATCAACTTTATTAAGGGAGCCAAGATCATAGTAGAACATTAGCTTGAGTAACAAATTATGAAAAAAATATATAAAATAACATCTGGAATGCAACGAGAAATAAATGTCGCGTCATAACTTGAGCATCTTTTAATCATCGAATATGAAAAGGGAAAATACTTGCGGCAAGAATTACGAGCGGGTACATAAAGCTGAAATCCCGCACATTAAATGAAATATAAAGATAAACCCTTATAAGAAAAAATAATAATGAATACATTATAAAAATCAGAAACTAGATCAATGTTTGCAGAAATTAATTCTTAAATTGAGTGCTGAATAAAAGACAAAAACAAAAACATTCTTGTTTCCAGGTCCATATGAAGTTAGTCATTTTTTATTTTGGTTGACCCTTTTATTGTAATGCCATATTTTTGGAGCTAACCATCAAGTAGGCTGGCAATGTTACAAAGCCTCAGGCTTTGTAACATAAGCATCATCTCTTCCCTACCCCCCCACCCACCCACACACACACACCAAGCCTATGTACTTGTGCAGGCCTACTGATCATCAGGAACCGCAAGATCAACCACGTAACTGAGTAAAACTGCCCAGAAACCACAGACGCTGCCAAATAAACTACAAAAGTTTGATGAGACGGAGAGAAAAGATGAAAACTACCATAGGAAGTGGTAGTTTGCAAAATATTGACAAACCATGCACTATTATCTAACAGCATTACCAAGTGGCAGCTCGGGTCACCAGGGATTCAGCCTGCCTGCCAACTTCACACACACACGTGCCTGGTATCAACTACTACTATGCAAGGACCGACACTTTCAGTTATGTTTGGGGACAGTGTGTTCCATGGAAGCTGCAGGTCGGCATGCTCAGTATTTATTTATTCCTATTATGGTTCAAAATTATGTTTATGCTCCCCATCTTGTTAAATCTCCTTGGCTTATTAATTGGCCTCGACTATTACTTGGTTATCTTTCCTGGTGGTAGCTCGCATTCTCATTTCCTCGGCAGAGCTATCTTCTCATGGAATTCAAGTGTCCTTTCTGACACTTCTGAGTTGTCCTGGTGTTCAGGTAGCTCTTTAGACTTTCAGACCTGCCAATTTGAGTTAATTCATAGTGTATTTAGTTATGCTTTATTTATAGGTACTGTACTGTATGTTGTGCATGTCTAAGTACTTCATGGGAGTGAACAAGAACTTTTTCATTTTAATTCTGCAGAACTGTACAGTACCCCTTTTTTTCATCTGTTCTTTCCAGGGTTTGGCTTGTGGGATTCTGCCCCTCTACCCTGCTACCTCACTGCTGCTTCTGAACATTTTTCAACAGATCTAATGGCCATTTCCTGTTAGCGCCTGGTATTCACCTAGTTGTGCTTACGGGGATTGAGCTTTGCTCTTTCGACCCGCCTTTCAACTGTCAATCAACTGTTTTTAACTACTACTACTCCCCCCCCCTCTCCACACACCACACACATACACACCCCAGGAAGCAGCCCATGACAGCTGACTAACTCCCAGGTACCCATTTACTGCTAGGTAACAGGGGCATAGGGTGAAAGAAACTCTGCCCATTGTTTCTCGCCGGCGCCCGGGATCGAACCTGGGACCACAGGATCACGTGTTCAGCATGCTGTCCGCTTACCATGTATTTTCTAATTTTATAACATTATTACACTTTGATCTTAGTCCGAGGCGAAGAAGCAATACATATATAAAACAACATTTATATTGCCTTGTATCACTTTGTTGGTCATTCTGTGATGGCTCCCTCACCCACCCAAGACAACACGTGCTGCATGTCGTTTTCACAGATGTGAGTCACTCTTCATGAACTCTTACTATACAGAGAGAACTCTGTAATCCCAATACCTGTAACTGGAATCCATGGGTAACCTGAATAAATTTGGGTTCAAATTTTGTATTGTTCAACTAATAAAAATTAGGGTTACCGAGATTCTGCTGAATGAAAGACAGTACCGAATAAATTGAATTTTTTATAATTTGTGGACTTTTCAAGGTAAAAATTCAGCTACAGTAACTTGAAAGCCAGGCTTACTAAAATTGGGCGGGGCTCCATATTAGTCGGATTATTGAGTGTAGACAGTATTCCTGTTGCACACCTTTCACTCCAACTGCGTGTGCAACATTTATTGTTGGAGGATATCTGTGAGAGCTATGATGCCCTCCAGGTGGTATGGAACCTATCAGATAGTTTTACTCTCCACACATTTATATTAAGGTGAATGCTTTTATTTGCTTTACAGCTTTCTTCTTCTGCCGCTGGTTGTGGGAGGTTAACCACCTCTTAAGAGAATGTCCACTTTGTAACTGGTCTCCTAAATGAGGCAAATGCAATGTTTGCAGCTTTAGGTGAAACTCACACAAAGGACTATTATGACAATGAGATGTGGAAACCAGAATTCCCAAATTTCAGATGTAATCAAAAACATCAGTTACAGGGTGAGATCAGTCTGTACATCTACGAGACACTCAGCTGTACAGAGTTGCTAGAGCTTGCATCAATCCTGCAAGACACTGACAGACTTTCAAGCAGCTCATTGACTTCATGGCTGGTATTGTTGAATTATATCCAGGAGTCAGTATGGTCTCTCCATGTTTTTTGCAATGATTCCTGCTGACAATTGGCACCACGTTCTCTGATCCCTTGGTTGATTGATTGATCAACCACCCAAGAGGTGGCTTGGGCTAAGCCACCAAAGAGGTGGCATGGGCATGAATAGCCCGTAAGATCCCTTAGCGATTACTGCAACTTTTGCCACAAAGTACAACATTTTGGTTAATAGCTATCTCGGTAAGTATAACAATCAAGACTAGATTTTGGTTTTATTGCATAGCTATATTCATCCTACAATATTTTGATATTTACAATAGGCTTACCAAAATATTAATAATGTTAATTTACATTCCACTTTAAGTGGCAGAGGACTGACAACATTACTATAGATGTTTAGCAGAAAAATGAATAAAATTTGAAAGTCCACATAGGACAAATGGGGCCAATTCCTGGTATTTTAACAGGTGGCTGGAGACCACCAATCAAAATGTTAATATGTACAGTATTAGCATTATGGTTACTATTACTACTACTGCTGTACAGTACCCTATTACAGTACAGTATTGTGCTACAGTGCAGTATTTACATTCCATAAAACAAAACACTTAAAGTTGTCTTACTCTCTGCTTATTGTGGAACACAAGGTAGAAAATGATGGCCGTCACCATGATGGTGAGGAAATATGCAAAGAAGTGCGAGTCCTCATCGTCACGGAACTTTCCTCCATTATTGACTTGCGACGGAGCTTCCTCGTTGCCGGCAGGTTTCACCTCAAAATCTGTGAATTAATGTTATTTTAAAAAAATGTGCTTGCAAAATGGCAACGTTTTGAGTATTGACCAAGGCGACTTTTACAACTGTGAAACAAGTTATTACCAAGTAGTGAATCTTTTCCACAAATTATTGAAGGTTATTTTTGCACAGTTTTCCATAGTCCACACCAGGGATGCCTGAACACACTGCTCCCAAAGGTCAAAGACAAAATTCTATCTGTATTACGTACGCTGCTGCTTGTAAACCTGACAGCATGAAGCTTTTAAGATTGAGCCAGAGTAGAGATAGTGTAGGTGATGACAGATTGATAAATGTAACACTGACAACATTGCAGTCACTGATGAGAAAGTCAGTGTGAAACACACACACCTGATGGAAATTGATGAAATAAATGCAGCAATATTAGACCAGATTATGCCACTGTTGCTAAAGGAAGCTCTGTACTCATCTATTGTGTACAACAAAATGTTAAGACACCATAGAACTACCGGATACCTGGAAAATGGCGAACCTTTTACAAATAATCAAGAGTGTCAAGAGGAAAAACTAAACTATAAACCGGATTCATAATCATGTAAATTATTGAAACATTTTGTTAAAGAACAGCTGCAAAACTTCCTAATAGAAAACCAAAATGGCTTCAGAAAGAGCAAATAGTGTCAGTCAAATCTGACCCAAGAGTTCTACAACAGGGTCACTAAGGTATTAACAAAAGGCAGGGTAGGCTACATCCTACAGGACTGTCAAGGCACCATATGACTAGGTTTCGTCAAGTACTTATGCATCCCACTTACAAAATCCATACATCTTCCCTCAATCACGCAAGCTATGTTTACACTAAACAATTCATGAGCTCTGAAGTGCCATGCAGTTCTTTATAAACAATAAAAACCTTAAGTTGTGAAGCTCGTACACTGCTTAGTAAATGTAAACAAAGCCACAATTGTCAAGGAAATAGGAATAGGTTTCATAAGCTATTACATAATTTCCCTATGAATCCTGGCCTTGATATTGTCCCCCCCTCCCTACAAAAGTATCATTTTACAGTATAACTTAGAGAAGCAGGCTGGAAGATAACTGGAAGAACTGAAATATTTCCAATAGGAAATAAGAGGGTCAGTGTCATAGGGGGGAAAAATGTCGAAGTTGAAAGAAAGAGCAGGTGGGAGTTCCTCAAGGAGAAATCCTCTGACCCTCCCCCCCCCCCCTTTTGCTGTTCCTGAGCAATGTTAATGACCTACCAAAAATCTAACGTGCAAATCTAATAGGAAGAGCAAAGATGGACGAGGACTTTAGACTACTAGAAGAGGATACATATAAACTACTGAACAGTTCAGACAAAATCTTGTTTAAGAGTTCAATCCAAGCAACTGTAAAGCAATGAAGATGTTGAGAGGATAAATAACAATAACAAGAAAAGACTCTGCAATGTAAAAGAAAGTCAGATCTGAGTACATGCTGAATATTAGTAGGGGAAAGACCTGGAATGATTCTTATCTTTAAAACACATTTCGTTGTTTGGAGATTAAAATTTGAGACAAATTTCGTTGGTCCGTATTCTCTTTCTTATTCTTTTGGCAAGAGTGTAAATGACCCATTTATTAGGCAACTATGTATCATTTGAGCAACATGAAAACAAACAAAAATTGCCCTCAATGTGAAGACCTGTCATCACCAGTGCACAGGTTAGCCTTCTCACCCCTCTTAAGTTAACAATATCAATTCAGATTAAATATTTAAATTCTATGGCTTGTTTTTATTCTGAGTTGGCAAAGTTTTCATATGGGCCTGCTACCTTTTGAGAATTTTGTTTTGAAGTAGGGGACGTGAGAAATAAGCTAGATGGTTAAATTTTTTTGTAGACATGTTCATTTGGTAGTCGTCTATTATAAGTTGAAATGAAAATTTCATTAAGTAAAATCAGCACAAAGTGTGGGAAATGCATATTGGAGGCATCTCCAGTTGCAACAAATCCCTCACTGCAATGAATTAAGGTTGGTTCCATATAGTCCATCAAATCTAGGTTGCACTGTACATCTAATCTCAAGATGTTAACAAATACAGTAGGAAGAAATAAACGATTCATACTGTAAAGTATGAAAATATATGGTTTGTTATAATCTATTTAAAAATCTAAATTCACATATATAACAGCATTAATTAAAAATAATTAAATGCAAAAATATTAACTACAGTACTATCATTCAATAAGGTAAGAAATACTGTACCCCAAAATCACAATAAGAATGTAACAACTCTTGTATATATCTCAAAAAAAAAAAAAAAAAAAATTAAGGAAGGTAATACGGTGTTTTCTTGTTTATCGTATAGGGTAAAGCGACAATGTGATCCAGTTCAATCTTATGTGAATGGAAGCTAGAAATTTGTTCTGGTTCGTGTGACCGACTCTTAGATAACTGGGTAATCAAGATCATTCAACAAAAGCATATTTGTAGCGCTGACAAAATGGGCAAATAGTAAAAAAAGCTTAGCTCTTTTTATTTATGAATCATACTGTAAAAATAATGATGTTATCAAATTATGTGCATGTACATCTGTTAGTCAGTCAATAATTATGGGAAAACTGAACACAGCAAAAAATATTAAATGTGATCCATCTGGTACAAATCAACAGTTACTCCAGCATGTAACAGTTGATTGTTGTTGTAACATACAATATGGTTGTACCATATGTACAACCACTGTACCACAGTGGGTATCTGTAATACACCAGAGAAAATATATCTCCAGTGCTGCAGAGGTCAAACTCAGGGTAGGTGGTTTGTCAGCCCTAAATGTTAATCTCCCCCAAAAAAGATAAATTGAGTGCAGTTCTATATATACCTTACCTCCTTCCTCATGAGGATCGCTTATGTAGCTGTTGTCGTCGTATGACAAGTCGTTCTCCGACTGAGAGTCCGAAGCTTTTCCCATTTTGGCTTCCACTGATTGGTAGTCTTCTGGCTTTGCAATTTCTGCAACAATCGGTAGACTGGATACTGTTGTTGTTGTTGTTGTTGTTGTTTTCATACTGGAGCTCACCTTTTCTGAGCCTGGGGTAGATTTATTTGGATCCTGAATACCTTGTGTTGGTAATGGTGCAACTGAGGGATTAGAGGACTCTGGAAAAATAATTGGATGTGACTTTCTATTATCTGGTTCTTTTCTCTGTACATCTCCTGGTCTCTCTCCATCTTTAACATCGGAATTCTGTACACTACTGTCTCTATTGGTGTTTAAGATGCTATCTTCCTTAACTGAAGCCAAGGCAGTGTTTGAAGTGTCTGGATCTTCTTTAACTTCTGAATCACCTGGATCCTGTGTATCTTCAGTGTTGTCAGCAGCTTCTTCAGTAATCAGGTTCTCAGTGTCTTGAGATTTTGCTTCAGATTTTTTATTTTCTTGATCATTTCCAGCTGATATAATTCCCGGATCAGAATCTTTTTTATAGTCTGAGTTATCAATAGAAATTTCATGGTTGTGACCAGGACTATTATGAAATTTTTCGTCATCTCTAGACTGTGCAGCCTGGCCTGAGGTATCGCCCAATTCTTGCTCAACCGTGGGCTGTTGTTCATCCTGACCAGGCTTATCAGCCCCTTTTGGGTCAGCCCCAGGCTGTTTTTCACCCTGACCAGGTTTACCGTCTATGTTTGGGTCAGCCTCAGGCTGTAGTTCATCCTGACCTGGGTTATCATCCACTTTTGGGTCAGCCCCAGACTGTTTCTCATCCTGACCTGGGTTATCATCCACTTTTGGGTCAGCCCCAGACTGTTTCTCATCCTGACCTGGGTTATCATCCACTTTTGGGTCAGCCCCAGACTGTTTCTCATCCTGACCTGGGTTATCATCAATGTTTGGGTCAACCCCAGACTGTTTTTTATCTTGACCTGGGTTATTCAATTTTGAGTCAGTCCTGGACTGTTGTGGTTGTTTATGATCAGGGTTATCATCCAATTTTAATTCATCATCTTTCAGCCGTCGAACAGGTTCATCATTTTTGTCTTGGATAAGTACTTTACCTGGCTTCGATTTTTGTCTCTCGGTATTCTCGGATAAAGTCTCGTTTCTCTGTTGGATCGCAATTGCAGTGTTTATGTTTTTTTTGTGTGGAGGAGCTGCTGATGTCGGGACAGAAATACACAAGGTACAGCTCACCAACACTAAAACCACATGGTCTCCCTTCATTTCACTGGCAGTTGAGTTTTTCCCCCCTGAAATGTAAATCAATCTATCAGTGAGTAATAATAAAAAGGTATTCTTAATATAAAATTTTAAATTATATTCAACCCTAGCTTTGCATGAATATTTGGAAAGCACAAAATTAGCTATAAACAAGGTAGGCACTGTTTGGATTACTGAAGACTTGCATCAAGTACAGTATATAAATCTACCTTACATGGGATATTTTTGGCATGGAATACAGTACAGCATTCTCGTTTATGCCCGTGGTGAATGTACAAATGTGTTTACTTGTAGTTAGGAGCAAGTGGTTGAGCAGTTTAGTAACACTGAACTGATTGGTGTTAAGATCTTATATCAGAGTTGTTATATTGAACGTGTACAGTACCTACTCAAAATTATCTGTTAGATTAATCAAATCAAATCAAAATCAAAATCAAAATGTTTATTTAGGTAAGGTACATACATAAAAGAGATTTTGCAAAGAGTGATGGATTTATAGTTAGGGCTAGTACATACAATGCCTAAAGCCACTATTACGCAAACCGTTTCGGGCATAAAAACAATTACTAAAAAATGACTAAAGCTTAATACTAATTGAGCATAAAGAGTAAAATGAAAACATGGAATGAAAACATAGCTGAAAAAGCAGCACAAATACAATTCTGTCGACAAACAGCGCTCTTTAAAAAAAACAGACATTGGATGACATTAGAGGGGTAAGGTAGGTTACAGGGAATTTATTAGGTATAGCTTAGTTTTTATCTTAAACTGGTTGAGAGAGGTACAGTCTTTAACATGGTTGGGAAGGTCATTCCACAATCTTGGTCCCTTGATTTGTAGAGCATTTCTAGTTTGATTAAGTCGTACTCTAGGAATATCAAAACTGTATTTATTTCTGGTGTGGTGCTCATGGGTTCTGTTACAACCTTCTATGAAGCTTTTGAGGACAGGATTGGCATTACAGTTTAGCGTTTTATATATGTATAATACACATGAGAGAATGTGCAGTGACTTAATATCTAACATATTCAGAGATTTGAGTAGGGGTACCGAGTGATGTCTGGGGCCAGAGTTGGATATTGTCCTAATAGCAGCTTTGTGTTGAGTAATTAGAGGACGTAAATGATTTTGGGTAGTAGAACCCCAAGCACAAATACCATAGTTGAGATATGGATAGACGAGGGAGTAAGAGAGAGTCACCAGGGCAGGGCGGGGTACATAATATCTGATCTTAGAAAGAATGCCAACAGTTTTTGAAACTTTTTTGATATATTTAGAATGTGGCCCTGGAAATTCAGCTTGTGGTCAATGAGAATGCCAAGGAATTTGCCATCTAATTTGTTATAAATTTGGGTATTGTTTATTTTGAGATTTATTTGATTAGAGGATTTATTGCCAAACAGAATATAGAAAGTTTTGTCAATGTTAAGGGTGAGTTTGTTGGCAGTTAGCCATAGATGGACTTTATTTAGCTCAGTATTTACTGTGGCATTTAGAGCAAGGGGGTCAGGACTGGAGTAAATGAAGGTTGTGTCGTCAGCAAATAGAATTGGTTTGAGGTGTTGGGAGGCATTTGGAAGGTCATTAATGTAGATGAGAAAGAGGAGAGGGCCAAGTATGCTGCCCTGAGGAACACCAATGTTGATGGGTAGGGTGGGAGAAACTGAATTATTCACAGAAACATACTGGAGCCTGTCAGTAAGGTAGGATTTGAGGTATTGCAGGGAGTGTCCTCTGACTCCATAATGATGTAGTTTAAGAAGAAGGTTTTGGTGGTTGACAGTGTCAAAAGCCTTACGCAGGTCTACAAATAACCCAACAGGGAACTCATTTTTATCAAGAGCTGTATGAATCGAGTTAAGCATACTAATAAGTGCATCGTTAGTGCTTTTTTTGGGTCTGAAGCCATATTGGCAAGGGCTAAGTATATTAAGGGCAAGGGCTAAGTATATTAAGGACCTGCCCGAAACATAATGCATGTTAGTGGCTTTACAAGAATGTAAAAACATATTTCTATGTACTCTCATAAACCCAATGTACCTCTTTGTATATAAATAAATAAAATAATAAATAAAATGAGAGAGAAGTGGAGAAAAATGAGTAGATTGCCAAAGTTGAAAAATTTTTTGAATGTGATGAAATGCTAATTTCTGGGCGAGACTTTTGGTGGCTCCCTTAAGCTCCTATGCTAAGTTGGTGCCATCGTCTAGGTTATATAAGATGTGGACTTCTCTAGGCATAGGAGGGGGGGGGGGGACAATAGCGCCAGAACCTGGCCCACTCAAAGAGCCGCAGGGAGCAGTGACATTGATTTGTGCAATTTTGAATTTCCTCGAGGGGCTTCTGTCACTCTAGCGGCCTTGACAGAGACAGGAAGCCGGAGGCTTGTCAATGCATTAATATATTCATGTATATTACACGGTACACTGGGTTTGAGTACACAATACTATGGAGTTCTCATGGCTCGGTCCATCTAATTACCACAAGCTACACAAGCTTCACTAAGCTTCCTGGCAATACATTAATAATGAATAAATATGATATATTTACTCATTATAATGTTGGTGCTGAATGTACAACACGAAAAAACATAATTTTAATCTGAAAAAGTATCTTTTTATAAAGAAATTAGACGAAAATAAAGAGCTGGTGACGCCAAATCAAGTCGACGATCCAAGCGTCGGTTAGGTTAGGTTAGATTTGGTTGGGTTAGGTCAACCTAACATATATTTATTCATTACTAACGTATTGCCAGGAAGCTTTGTGAAGCTTGTGGTAATTAGACGGACCCTCACAGCCTGGTTATATGCCACTAACACCCCATAGCGTTTGGGCCAGGAAGACCAAGCAACCCTTACAGGCACTCAAAAAGCTGCCAAATTTAATATCATTGCTAACTTGAACCAAACCTCTCCTATCCTACCCCTAAAACCCATCCTATCCCTAAAACCTAACCTAACCTATCCTCAGCAACACCACAGCACCAGCCAGAGGCACAAGTCTCCCACAACCAATAAAGCTCCGATATCATTATTATTAATCAAAAAAGGAGGAGGATAAGCTCTGCCAGCGGCACATGTACATACCAGAGAGTGTGTAGGTGCGAGAGGTCCTGCACGGTGGCTACTCCTGACGGAGGGAGCCCCAAGGGCACAGGGTGACGACAGGAGGAAGGAAAAAAAGATTAATATCTGACGTGGCGAGAGGTGAGGTGGGCGCGCGCCTGCTCCCCTCCGCCTCTACCACAACACTGAACCTTCCTAACTCAAATACAAATAAATATAAATGTTTATTCAGGTAAGGTACATACATACAAGAGATTTTACAAAATTTGATCGATTTATAGATAGAGCTAGTACATACAATGCCTAAAGCCACTATTACGCAAAGCGTTTCGGGCAGGAAAAACATTAATAACTAAAACTTTATGCTAATTGAGTATAAAGAATAAAATGTGTTGAGAACAAATAAAAATAAAGATAAAAAAGGGGGGAGCATGGCTGAAAAAGCAGCACAAATACAATTAGGTCGACAAGGTGAGATACAAAAGTTGATGGATTCATAGATAGAGCTAGTACATAAATGCCTAAAGCCACTATTACGTACAGCGTTTCTGGCAGAACTCATACCATACTACTTGTGTAAAGGAGGAAATGTATATGTTTATCTCTCAGAATGTTCGGTAATACGTTTATTGCTTGTGATGTGCATCTATGTATGTATTAACACGATGTACTGAACGGAGTGAGAATAGCTTGAGCTACCTTCATCCCTTTGTGTGTATTTTACCTCAATAAACTTATTTCAATTTCAATTTCCCAACTCACACATCCTCTTTCCTCCCCCATTGGTCTAATGTATCAACTAAACTAAGTTATTTGCCTAATAAAGAAATATTTTCAAATTAATTGGTGAGATAAAAGGACACTTCTTAAAATATTTCCCCATTTTGCACCCGCAAGATAACGTAAGCTTTTAAGGGTTGACAGATGTTAATCTTCTTGTTTGAGGAGCTGTTCACTTGAGACAGTTAAGCAAGTCCCAGCTGTGTCTGGGTACAAGTGACAGGATGAACAACCCAGCGGGTTTTCTTCCTATTGGGGAGTGTTGTACATGCTGCTATGGCGGTGTGTCCACTCACAAGATGAGTGGCGCTTCCCAATAAACTCGCCCCTCGGGGCAAAATTTAAAATTTAAGGACGTAATGATGTTGTTTGTTCTGGGCTCATAACCGAGAATTCCGGGATCGAATCCCAGGCGGGATAGAAATGGTTGCGCTCATTATCTATTGATATATATATTTATATACAAGAAGGTATATTGGGTTGAGAAAGTAACATGCATTGGGGGTTGAAAGTACATACTTAGAAAGGACAAAGGGGCTATGATAACAACATACAAGATACTGAGCCGTTAGTTAGTTTAGTTCATTTATTATGCACCCCATACCCATCTTGTGGGCGGTAGTGGAAAGGGTTACAGAGGCACATGATGGGCTCATAGCAGGGACTGAACCCCACAGTTCATTTAGCTGAGCCGTAAATGCCAGAACTCTGTTAAATTTTAATATCCAACTGGAAAATATCATCAGCGCAAATGGGGAGACCTTTGACAAGCCGCCGGCTTCCTCTCCTCGTCGAGGCCACTAGAGTGTCAGTGGCCCTCAGGTAAATTCAGGTAAATTATTTTAAAAGTAGATATGATAGAGAAATAGGTCAAGACTCATTGTATTAGACAACCGGCAGCTATATAGCAAAGCGGGGTCGAAGAGCTAGTGCTGGAATCAAGAAGGTACAAATAGGTAAATGAACAAATAGGTAAATGTGTATACAAATAAGTAAGTATACAGTATACTCTCAGATTGGCGAGACGTCACCAGTGGAGTCCCGCAGGGTTCAGTCCATGGACCCGTACTGTATCTTATATATGTAAATCATCTTCCAGATAGTATAGAATCATCCCTCTCATTGTTTGCTGATGATGCAAAAATTATGAGGAGGATTAAGACAGAGGAAGATAGTATGAGGCTACAAGATGACCTAGACAGACTGAATGAATGGTCCAACAAATGGCTGCTAAAATTCAACCCGAGTAAATGTAACGAAATGAAACTAGGCATTGGAAACAGGAGGCCAGACACAGGATACAGAATGGGAGATGAAGCCCTTCATGAAACGGACAGAGAGAAAGATCTAGGAGTTGATATCACACCAAACCTGTATAAGCCCATAAACCTCCTAAGCCCACATCAAGAGAATAACATCTGCGGCGTATGCGAGGCTGGCTAACATCATAACTGCCTTCAGGAACCTGTGTAAGGAGTCATTCAGAACCTTGCATATCACATATGTAAGAGTTAGTTAGTTTAGTTCATTTATTATGCACCCCATACCCATCTTGTGGGCGGTAGTGGAAAGGGTTACAGAGGCACATAATGGGCTCAGGGACTGAACCCCACAATTCATTTAGCTAAGTAAGTTACAATCTTGATCCTGGAGTATGCGGCCCCAGCATGGAGCCGTACCTTGCCAATCAGAAGGCGAAGCTTGAAAAGGTTCAGAGATATGCCACTAGACTAGTCCCAGAACTAAGAGGCATGAGTTACGAAGAAAGGCTGCGGGAAATGCACCTCAAGACACTGGAAGACAGAAGAGTAAGGGGAGACATGATCACTACCTACAAATTTCTCAGAGGAATTGACAGGGTAGATAAGGATAAACTTTTTAACACGAGGGATATGCGTACAAGGGGACACAGGTGGAAACTGAGTACCCACATGAGCCACAGGGACGTTTGAAAGAACTTTCAGTGTCAGAGTAGTTAACAGATGGAATGCATTAGGCAGTGATGTGGTGGAGGCTGACTCCATACACAGTTTCAAATGTAGATATGATAGAGCCCAGTAGGCTCAGGAATCTGTACACCAGTTGAGAGGCGAGACCAAAGAGCCAGAGTTCAACCCTCGCAAATACAACTAGGTAAGTGCAACTAGGTGAGTATACAGGTCCTCGCGGCCGAGCGGTCTAGGCACCTGGGAGTTTGACAGCTGCTTAGGGGCTGCATCCTGGGGATGTGTGCGTGTATAAGATAAAAATATATAAAGCAGATGTGATAGCGGAAAACTGGGCGGGAGTCAGTAATCTAGACCGTCGGTGCAAGAGGGGATAGGGAAGGGGGAAACTATCAGGGGAAAGGGCCAAGCCATTATGACTATATAGCACTAGGAAGGGATGAGGATAAGGATTAGGGATGGGACGGCGGGAATGGAGGGAAGGAATGGTGCTCAACCACTTGGTGGACGGTCGGGGGATTGAACGCCGACCTGCGTGAAGCGAGACCGTCGCTTTACCGTCCAGCTCAAGTCAAACAGTAAGTCAATAAACACACGGAAAGCACGTAATGACTTAAGGACCTGTCACATGAGCAAAAACAGCACGATAACATCACTGCTGCTATCTGTTAGTGAATTATCTAACACTGTATCTTATCTTATCTCGTACACCCAGACGCCGGAGGGCATATCATTCGTAGTGTTCAGGTGTGTATAATGTGGCTGTTGTGACGGTCTTCAGGTGTGTACAATGCTGATGTTGTGACGGTCTCCAGGTGTGTACAACGCTGCTGTTGTGACGGTCTCCAGGTGTGTACAACGCTGCTGTTGTCATGGTGTTCAGGTGTGTACATGCAACATCCCCGCTCCCACTTGTGGCGTGCTTGGCTACTAAAGTTTAACTCAGGAAAGTGTAAAGTAATGAAATTTGGTGAAGGAGAAGGCTGGACAGGAGGCTGAACACAAGGTACCATCTGGGAGGTGAAATCCTGCAAGAGACAAATAGAGAGAAAGACCTCGGTGTTGATATCACACCGAACCTGACCACAGAGGCCCACATCAAAAGGATATCATCAGCGGCATATGCTAGGTTGGCCAACATAAGAACTGCCTTTAGAAACTTGTGTAAGGAATCGTTCAGGACATTGTATACCACTTAAGTCAGACCAATCTTGGAGTATACAGCTCCAGCCTGGAGTCCATACCTAGTTAAACACTTGACAAAGTTAAAGATTCAGAGGTACGCCACCAGACTAGTCCCAGAACTGAGAGGTATGAGCTACGAGGAAAGTGCTACGGGAGCTAAACCTCACGTCGCTGGAAGACAAAAGAATAAGGGGAGACATGATAACTACCTCCAAATTTCTCAGGGCGGACAAAGACAAGCTATTTAGCATGGGTGGAACACGAACATAGGGACACAGGTGAAAACTTAGTACCGAAATGAACCACAGTTACATATGAATTTTTTTCAGTGTCAGAGTAGTTTACAAAAGAAATGTATTAGACAGTGGTGTGGTGGAGGCAGAATCCATACACAGTTTCAAATGTAGATATGATAGAGCCCAGTAGGCTCAGGAACCTGTACACCAGTTGATTGACAGTTGAGAGGGGGGACTAAAGAGCCAGAGCTCAACTCCCACAAGCACAACTAGGTGAGTACACACACACACACACGCGGAGGAAGGTAGTATGAGGCTACAAGATGACCTAGACAGACTGAATGAATGGTCCAACAAATTGACTACTAAAGTTTAACCCGAGTAAATGTAAGGTAATGAAACTGGGCAGTGGAAACAGGAGGCCAGGCACAGGATACAGAATAGGAGATGAAGTACTTCATGAAACGGCCAGAGAGAAAGATCTAGGAGTTGATATCACACCAAACCTATCTCCTGAAGCCCATATCAAGAGAATAACATCTGCGGCGTATGCGAGGTTGGCTAACATCAAAACAGCCTTCAGGAACCTGTGTAAAGAATCATTCAGAACCTTGTATACCACATATGTAAGACCAATCCTGGAGTATGCGGCCCCAGCATGGAGCCAGTACCTTGTCAAGCACAAGGCGAAGCTTGAAAAAGTTCAGAGGTATGCCACTAGGCTAGTCCCAGAACTAAGAGACATGAGTTACGAGGACAGGCTGCGTGAAATGCACCTCACGACACTGGAAGACAGAAGAGTAAGGGGAGACATGATCACTATCTACAAAATTCTCAGAGGAATTGACAGGGTAGACAAGGATAAACTATTTAACACTAGTGGTACGCGAACAAGGGGACACAGATGGAAACTAAGTACCCAAATGAGCCATAGGGACGTTAGAAAGATTTTTTTCAGTGTCAAAGTAGTTAACAGATGGAATGCATTAGGCAGTGATGTGGTGAAGGCTGACTCCATACACATTTCCAACGGAGATATGATAGAGCCCAGTAGGCTCAGGAATCTGTACACCAGTTGATTGACAGTTGAGAGGCGGGACCAAAGAGCCAGAGCTCAACCCCCGCATGCAAAAATAGATGTAAGGTACCACACACACACACACACACACACACACACACACACACACACACACACACACACACACACACACACACACACACACACACACACACACACACACACACAAGTAATCATGAAGATTTAAATTAATAATTTGTTCTCTTTTTTTTTCAAGAGCTAAATACAGAAGCCTGCAAGAGACCATTACCAGATATCAGTAGAACCTACAAGATACTGATAGGCTGGTATGGAGTACCAAGACTCGTAGGAAGTGTCAAGGCGAAAGAGAATAATGGAGCATGCAGAAATAACGATTGGGCAGAGGCAGGGAAGTGAGAAAGCGGAGATAATGACTGAACAGCTGGAAGAGACCTCGACACCAGGGACGAGTGAACAACAGCAGGAGAACGAGGGAGCAGAGACGATGGACGACCAGCTGGACGTGGAAAAGGGAGACCAAGAGGAAGTCGATCAAATACAGCACCTGGAGAAGCGAGACCAAGAGGCAGTCGACCAAGTACAGCAGCTGAAGAAGCGACACCAAGAAGCAGTCGACCTAATACAACAGCTGAAGAAGCGAGACCAAGAGGCAGTCGACCAAGTACAACAGCTGAAGAAGCGACACCAAGAAGCAGTCGACCTAATACAGCAGCTAAAGAAGCGAGACCAAGAAGCAGTCGACCAAATACAACAGCTGAAGAAGCGAGACCAAGAAGCAGCCGACCAAATACAGCAGCTAAAGAAGCGAGACCAAGAAGCAGTCGACCAAATACAGCAGCTGAAGAAGCGACACCAAGAAGCAGTCGACCAAATACAACAGCTGAAGAAGCGAGACCAAGAAGCAGCCGACCAAATACAGCAGCTAAAGAAGCGAGACCAAGAAGCAGTCGACCAAATACAGCAGCTGAAAAAGCGACACCAAGAAGCAGTCGACCAAATACAGCAGCTGAAGAAGCGACACCAAGAAGCAGTCGACCAAATACAGCAGCTGAAGAAGCGACACCAAGAAACAGTCGACCAAATACAGCAGCTGAAGAAGGGACACCAAGAAGCAGCCGACCAAATACAGCAGCTGAAGAAGCGACACCAAGAAACAGTCGACCAAATACAGCAGCTGAAGAAGGGACACCAAGAAGCAGTCGACCAAATACAGCAGCTAAAGAAGCGACACCAAGAAGCAGTCGACCTAATACAACAGCTGAAGAAGCGAGACCAAGAAGCAGTCGACCAAATACAGCAGCTAAAGAAGCGAGACCAAGAAGCAGTCGACTTAATACAGCAGCTAAAGAAGCGACACCAAGAAGCAGTCGACCAAATACAGCAGCTGAAGAAGCGAGACCAAGAAGCAGTCGACCAAATACAACAGCTGAAGAAGCGAGACCAAGAAGCAGTCGACCAAATACAACAGCTGAAGAAGCGAGACCAAGAAGCAGCCGACCAAATACAGCAGCTAAAGAAGCGAGACCAAGAAGCAGTCGACCTAATACAGCAGCTAAAGAAGCGAGACCAAGAAGCAGTCGACCAAATACAGCAGCTGAAGAAGGAACAAGTAAGTTGGTCTTTACCTGCATTGCATAATTAAATTAACAGTAGAAGCGAAGAGTATATAGTGGACTCTGTTGATACCTAGGTATGAAAATGGAGCCCCATCAGGAAAGGGAAGGGAAGGGATCATTAGGTTAAAATGAAGCGATATATGTAATTAGCATTAATATGATATATTATTGTATATCGAACTGAGTATGTTTGATATACACCAATTTAATAGTTTTGTTTTTAGCATGATTGTATTTTTGTTGTATTATAAACTCAAGCCTAATGAAGCCTACTTGGGTATGTGTGTGTGTTTTATTAAACATGACAGAAAAGGTCCGATACATAATTCTAATGTTCTATTTCACTTGGCATCTAAATTTAAAAAAAAAAATCCACTCCTAAATGGACTTAAAATGGGCCTAAAAGGTGTCGCAAAAATACTTGTTTCACTAAAATAATCCTTAGCATCGTCAGAGGGGAAAGTATTATATAAATTTTTCTTGCTGACCCACTTGCTAATTAGCCTCACCCCCAACCCAGCTCCTGAGAGCAGTGAGAGAGGGGTCAGCTGCCGTGGTGAAGAGGCTGCTGGAGTCTGGAGTTGATGTCGAGACTGTTACTTCTTGGGATGACACTGGTGAGCATATATATGGGTATTTATGCAAGGTCTTAAACGGTCAAAGGGTCTCATACGGGGTCATAAGGTGTTAAGGGCGTCTCATGCAGTCATAAAGATTTAAGGAAGCCTCATTCAGGGTCATAAGGTGTTAAGGGCGTCTCATGCAATCACTAAGATTTAAGGAAGCCTCATACAGGGTCATAAGGTGTTAAGGGCGTCTCATGCAGTCATAAAGATTTAAGGAAGCCTCATACAGGGTCATAAGGTGTTAAGGGCGTCTCATGCAAAGTCATAAAGATTTAAGGAAGCCTCATACAGGGACATAAGGTGTTAAGGGCGTCTCATGCAAAGTCATAAAGATTTAAGGAAGCCTCATACAGGGTCATAAGGTGTTAAGGGCGTCTCATGCAGTCATAAAGATTTAAGGAAGCCTCATACAGGGTCATAAGGTGTTAAGGGCGTCTCATGCAGTCAAAGATTTAAGGAAGCCTCATACAGGGACATCAGGCGTTGAGGGCGTCTCATGCAGTCAAAGATTTAAGGAAGCCTCATACAGGGTCATAAGGTGTTAAGGGCGTCTCATGCAGTCAAAGATTTAAGGAAGCCTCATACAGGGACATCAGGCGTTGAGGGCGTCTCATGCAGTCATAAAGATTTAAGGAAGCCTCATACAGGGTCATAAGGTGTTAAGGGCGTCTCATGCAGTCATAAAGATTTAAGGAAGCCTCATACAGGGTCATTAGGTGTTAAGGGCGTCTCATGCAGTCAAAGATTTAAGGAAGCCTCATACAGGGACATCAGGCGTTGAGGGCGTCTCATGCAGTCATAAAGATTTAAGGAAGCCTCATACAGGGACATCAGGCGTTAAGGGAGTTTCATAAAGAGTCATACAGTGTTAAGAGAGTTTTATACAGATTGATAAAGTGAAAGTTTTATTAGAATCTCATAAGGAGCCATAAATAGTTAAAAAAAAAGTCTCATACAAGGTCACAGAACCAGAGCAATCCACCTATCGCAGTCCCAGTTAATTGTGTCTGAAAATTAGACACCCAGACCACACATCTATAAATATAATAATTATAATGTTTATTGGGAAAGGGACTATCAGGAGAAAGCGCCAAGCCATTACGACTATATAGCACTTGGAAGGGGGTAAGGATAAGGATTTGGGGATGGGACGGGGGAAGGGAAAGGAATGGTGCCCAAGTACTTGGATGGTCGGGGACTGAACGCCGACATGCATGAAGCGAGACCGTCGCTCTACCGTCCAGCCCAAGTGGATGGGTTATTCATTGTGAAGAATGTGTGTATAAAGAACATAATAATAAGTACAATTGTAGGGACATAAATAACATACTAATGATGTGTTTCGAGAAAAACTTAAAAAAAAGGTGTGAATTATTTATAAAAAAAAGGTATTAAATTATTTTTAATATTATTAGAAAAAGGTATTAAATTATTTAAAGGTGTGAAGTGGTAAACACTTAATACTAAAAAAAAAGCTAACGAAAAATAACATACGAGTACAATGCAAAAGTGATACAGTACTAAATGATGACTGGTATATAAGCTATTACAGTATGGCATCTGCAGTTCTAGCAACAGTACAGTAGTTTATTTACATTAATAACAGACTGGAATACTGAAGTGTAATTTAGAGAAGCAACTGGAACATAACATAGTGAGTCATCACGAATCGTCCTCAACACCTCCTTTAAGTTCATATGTGTGTCTTGGGTGTCTAATCCATCTAAACTACTGAAGCCAATGCGGAAAAAAATCAGTGCTTTGATTTTAATAATAGGTCACATTCTTAACGGATTGGGCGAGTCTCCCTTAAGCAATCATTTATAAAAGACAAAACACTGCTAACGTATTGTGTTCAGCAGGTTACCGAGCCTTGCACCTGGCCGCTGTAGGAGGTCACGACGAAGTCACCCGGGTGCTGATGCAGGCTGGAGCCGACGTCACCGCCAGGGATCACTACGGTCAGTCACACACTTCACTTTCTGGGCCTTCCCAACCCGTCCTCCTACAGCGGGTTGGGAAGGCCGAGTATACGTCAAAATGCATGTCGCATTTTGACCTAATACTCGACATATGGCCAAAAAATTGTCGTGCTAGAAAATGGTAGCGGTGAAAATTGTCTTCAACTTCCCTCGACAGTGAAGAAAAACATAAGAAATATGGAGAAGATTCGTGCTAGAATTATTAATGTTACCCTTTCGATCATATTCAACAACATATTGTTACAAGAAAGGACAAAATATACATGAACAAATCCACAAGGGACTGCCCTTGTGACATTTTTTATAAATATCCACGGCCCAATAGTTGGTCATACTATTGTACTATATATATTATTAAAGCTATTGATATTATGCTTAATTTAATTTCTCAATTAGTTTCTCATCGTTCGTGCAGGGGATGAGGCTATCCACACAGCCAGCCGGAGCGGCCACGCACCAGTGGTCAACCAATTGCTCAACCATAACAAAGATCAGCTCTACGACCTCGACCATGATGGTGATTAGCTTGATGGGGGGTAGAAATAGCCTAAGCTACTCTATCCCTTTGAGATGTATTTATTGCTTATCTCAATAAACATACTTGAACTTGAACTTGATTAGCTTGAGCCGAATCCCGGACTGATATTTCAACCCAGCCGATTAAATAATTCAAAGAGGCTGCAGATAATGTCAGACGATTATCTGATCGTAAATCAAAAGATCCTGAGATCATTGGTCAGGATACAGTCATAATATCGTATCCGACAGGACAGAACACATCTTGTTATGTTCTGTACCATCAGTGTACTTCAGTACCATCTCATGTTCAGCCCATCTTCTTCAAATAATAATACAGCAGCTATATATATTTAGTCTAAACATACAAAAATTGATTTTTTGCTTTACTTTTCTACCACGGGCGTGGCCACACATTGTCAGTGCTATCTAGCTCATACACATTTTGTTCTATTCAAGGGGTTAGAGATGTCATATAATGTAGTGAGTGACCCCCCCAAATCAAGCTTAGGTTTTGTATTTTTTAATTCGCCCAAATGACATACTAAAAAAAATGTAAATGTAAAGAAACATACTAAAGAATCTAACCTAAGCAAACTTAGGCCTAATATACACTCTCTGAAGCCTAATGTAGTACATATGTGCTATACTAGGCCTAGGAATGTTTAAGTTTAGTTTTCGTATATCTTTTCTTGCCCTCTACAAAATTTAAGTACAAAGGGGAATTTGTTTGTACATTGTTTGTGGCAATAGTCCATTTTTGCACGTGCGACCAAGTAGTTGCTATTAGTACAATCATTTTATGAAGATGGACTCTTTGTATTGGAGACTTCTGTAACTCCCTAACAGCAGAATGAGTTATTTATTCTTTGTAACTTAGCCGAGGGATGGGATGACACTATATAAAGAAGCCAGCAGCATTAGGTGCACACCATTTGGTCACCATGTGGTCACCATTTGGTCCGGGAGACATCTCCCGTCACGCAGGGTGCAGTTGCGCCTCCACAGATCTCCAGTATCATCTTTTGATACTGGTAATGGCTCAAAAGGGCCACCACTTACGGGCTATTCATGCCCGTGCCACCTCTTGGGTGGCTTAATCTTCATTAATCAATTAGGTGCATGAGATGTTAACACCAGCAGCAGCTTGAGACGTCAACAGCATCATCAAGATACCAGTATAGTTTGATCTAGTCACAACACTAAATCCGATTAGGATAATTGTTGCTGTGTAACTAGGGTTTCTATATAAATTCAAAGCACTTTATGTACATTGCTTTAAAATCCATACAAAAATACCGTTATCATTTAATAGCTCTATCTAGCGTATCATAATTTCTCTCTCTTGAAGAAATATACTTGTATTAGTTGCAATATATGTCTTGTCACCAACACCAGGCCGGACAGCCGCGCACCTGGCAACAGCAGGTGGTCACGTGGCGGTACTCGAAGTCCTTCAGCGTTACGGCAATATCCTTGATGTGAGGGATCAAGACGGCCGTTCTCTTCTCGAGTACTCTGAGGCCAACGACCAAGTGCGTGTCACCGAGTGGCTGCTAGTACAAGGTGTGCAATGGCCTCCCTTAACCAGCTGGAGTTTCCACATCTTCCAAGCAAGCTATCCTAGGCTGGCCTGGTTGTTCAAGGTACTATCAAAGTGTTCACAATTGTTTCCTAATTTGTAAAACAATATATTGTAAGGCTTCACTGCGTCATGTCTGGTTAGACTGCATTAAGTTAGGTTAAGTTCGGGCCTTCTCTTGGCGAGGCAGTGGGAGGAATGGTGGCTGTATTTAACTTGGGTGTTTTATCGGGTTATGGCTGAAATATGAATATCAGACATATTCTGTTAATTTTCCAAGCATCAGTGAATAATGTTTCATATTATTATAAGCAAAAATAATGTATTTGAATTTTGATTTTTAATTTAATCTAAAATATGTTATAGGGTTAGCCGGCAGCTAGTGCCGAAAATCATCATAGGGGTCTGAATGTGATCCCGGCACACTGTTCCCTTTTAAAATCTGATGGGCCCTGATCAGCCTATGTTCACCCCGTACCTCAGACCATTCCCTCTGCCAATTTGAGCGAGGCTAGCCCCAAACGCCTGGCTTCCAAAGTTGATCAGACAGACATTTCCTCTCATAGGTCTTAGTATATACAGGCTGCCAGTCTCTGGCTAAACGAATTAGGGTTAACGTCATATGTCTCAGCAAGTGCGTGCATGCTCTCACATATATGTAACAGTATTTGATGTTAATGCAGGTACTGACGTGGTTTGTCAAGACTTCCTTGAGATGGTTGAGTATGAGTCCACCGCTTGACCCCAAACTGAAAATACAGGCAAGTGTGTGCAGGTTTTAGGCCTTTGTGTGTGTACTCGCATAATTGTGCTTGCGGGGGTTGAGCTTTGGCTCTTTGGTCGCGCCTCTCAACTGTCAATCAACTGATGTACAGATTCCTGAGCCTACTGGGCTCTATCATTCTACATTTGAAACTGTGTATGGAGTCAGCCTCCACCACATCACTGCCTAGTGCATTCCATTTACTAACTACTCTGACACTTAAAAAGTTCTTTCTAACATCTCTGTGGTTCATCTGGGTACTAAGTTTCCACCTGTATCCTCTTGTTCGTGTTCCACCCGTGCTGAAGAGTTTGTCTTTGTCCACTCTCTCAATTCCCCTGAGAATTTTGTAGGTGGTTATCATGTCTCCCCTTACTCTTCTGTTTTCCAGGGCCGAAAGGTTCAGCTTCTTTAGCCTTTCCTCTCAGTTCCGGGACGAGTCTAGTGGCATACCGCTGAATCTTCTCTAACTTTGCTTTGTGCTTAACTAGGTATGAACTCCAGGCTGGAGCTGCATATTCCAGGATTGGTCTGACATAAGTGGGATACAGGGTCCTGAACGATTCCTTACACAAGTTTCTAAAGGCAGTTCTTATGTTGGCCAGTCTAGCATATGCCGCTGATGATATCCTTTTGATGTGGGCCTCTGGGGACAGGTTCGGTCTGATATCAACCCCCCAAATCTCTCTCTCTCTATTTGACTCTTGCAGGATTTCACCTCCCAGATGGTACCTTGTGCTCAGCCTCCTGCTCCCTTCGCCTAATTTCATTACCTTACACTTTCCTGAGTTGAACTTTAGAAGCCATTTTCTAGACCATTCCTCCAGTTTGTCCAGGTCATCCTGTAGTCTCTGTCTATCTTCATCCGTCTTGATTCTTCTCATAATTTTTGCATCATCAGCAAACATTGAGAGGAACAAGTCTATACCCTCCGGAAGATCGTTTACATACCTTGAGGTTGCCTTGAGGTGCTTCCGGGGCTTAACGTCCCTACGGCCCGGTCGTCGACCAGGCCTCCTGGTTGCTGGACTGATCAACCAGGCTGTTTGACGCGGCTGCTCGGAGCCTGACGTATGAAAGAACAAGATATTTACATAGAAACTAGATGGGTCCAAGTACTGAGCCCTGTGGGACTCCGCTGGTGACATCTCGCCACTCTGATGTCTCCCTCCTCACCCTTACTCGCTGTTTCCTGTTGCTTAAGTATACTTCCTTATCCACTGGAGCACCTTCCTTTTTACTCCTACCTGTTGCTCCAACTTTTTTAACAGCCTTTTATGGGGTACTGTGTCAAAGGCTTTCTGGCAGTCCAGGAAAATGCAGTCGGCCCACCCTTCTCTTTCCTTTCTAATTTTTGTTGCCTGGTCATAGAATTCTATTAAACCTGTGAGGCATGATTTACCATCTCTGAACCCATGTTGGTGGTGTGTTACAAAGTTATTTCCCTCCAGATGCTCTACGAGCCTTTTCCTCACGATCTTCTCCATCACCTTGCATGGTATACAAGTTAGGGAAACTGGCCTGTAGTTCAGTGCCGCTTGCCTGTCACCCTTCTTGTATATTGGGACTACGTTAGCTGTCTTCCAACTGTGTGTGTTGTGTGTGTGTGTGTGTGTGTGTGTGTGTGTGTGTGTGTGTGTGTGTGTGTGTGTGTGTGTGCACGCTTGCTTGATTGGGTTGAACTCTGGCTCTTTGGGCCCGCCTCTCAACTGTTAATCAACTTATTTTTCACACACACACACACACACACACACACACACACACACACACACACACACACACACACACACACAGGAAGCAGCCCATAGCAACTGTAACTCCCATCCCAGGTGTGTGTTCTTGTGTGCGTGGGCATGAGTATGTGTGTGTATTTACTATTTATGTCTGCAGGATCGAGCAGTTAGCTCTTGCACCCCACCTTTTAACTGGCAGTTGTTTAATGTACCGACTCCCGACCTTTTTCTATCATATCTACTACATATGTTTACATCTTTCTCGAACACACACACACACACACGAAGGTGAGAAGATGGTGGAGGCGAAAACCGCCAGTAATTTCAAAGCGTTATATGACAAAAAGTACTAGGAAGATGGGACACCACGAGCGTAGCTCTCATTCTGTAACTACACTTAGGTAATTACACACACACACACACACACACACACACACACACACACACACACACACACACACACACACACACACACACTCTTCAAGATGTAGCCCGTAGTAGTTTAATGTTTCTACAATGTTTGAGAAAAAAAGCCACATTAAGGCATGAATGCTCTGTCACGGATGGCTCCAGCCACACATATTGAACCTAATTTTAATTAACGTAATCTAACATGAAGCAACGCATATACATATACAAGTATATCTCAATTAAATGAGCTCGCGGCCAGGCTCCAGAATGAGTTGAAGCAAAGATATCAGTACATTTCTTTTAAATATGACAGCAGTTTGAATACTAATCTAGAAGCCCTTATGTTGTTATGAAAGAGAATACTTAGCGGTTTGTTGATTTGAAATCCTCGCAGGTGATGCGAACGCCGAGACCCATACAGCAGCCTCTGCAGCAGAAGCCGCAGACGGAACAGCGGAAGCTGCAAACGGAACAGCAGAAGCCGCAAACGGAACAGCAGAAGCCGCAGACGGAGGTGGAACGGCAGAAGCCGCAGACGGAGGTGGAACAGCAGGATCCGCAGACGGAGGTGGAACAGCAGGATCCGCAGACAGAAATGGAACAGCAGGATCCGCAGACGGAGGTGGAACAGCAAAAGCCGCAGACGGAGGTGGAACAGGGAACATCAAGGCTGCAACAGCAGACGGAGCAGCAGAAGCCGCAGACGGAGCAGCAAAAGCACGGGGAGAAGCGAAAGAGTCAGGAGAAAAGTCGCAGATCGAAGCGGACGGTCTCAGCAGTGAAGGTAATGTTTGAAAGAAGGTTTAGGTTGGAGTAGACTATTTGGAGATAAAGCTCTACGTTGTTGTTGTTTTAGATTTAGCTACTCAGAATGAAGTGTCCATGTAGCACGGGCTATGGTGAGCCCGTAATTAAAGCTCTACCTGTAAAGGCCTAATTATAGCAAGGTGAAGGTGGGGCGAGGTCAGGAAGGTTAAGGTGAAGTCATACACGTGTGGCTGAAAAAGCATTATGAGCAAAAAGTTAAAGAGTTAAAAGCAACTCTTTATATTATTTTCATTATTAATTTAGCAAGACGAGTAACAGTTATCAATTTTCTACTAATCTGAAAAGTTCTATGTATTACAATGCTGTTTTCGTCTGTGATGATGAGTTCAACAGACCCGATGTTCGCCAGGGACTGGTTGGCTCATGGGTTAAGATGGGGGCGTGCGTGAGAGAGACAGACAGAGAAGTCGAGCACATTTTATCAATATGGTAGGCAGGCATAACAATAAGAATAATACACAAGAGAGTAATCACATTAGTGTGATGCATCAGCGTAAATATCCGTAGGAGCCGTGATGAGGGCTCGAATCTATGCGCTGGGTGTTCTCAGACACACGCTAGTCTAGAGTGTGTGTCTGGGAACACCAAGCTCATAGGTTAGAACCTTCATTACGGCTCCTACAGATTTTGTCAATAATAATATTTTATTTACACAAATGTACACATGAAACATGAACAGGGGAAGATATCTATGTAAGACAATGTACTTGTCTTACATAGGTAAGATAAGTACATTGCATAACACCATTAATATGCATGAGCGTTTCGGGCATACAACTGCCATGATGACGGTACTGTTGCTGTTAAGGTGAACCACTATCAATAACCCCGTCTCTCATTATGGTGATTCTAAACAGTGCTGTCAGCACTTTGTGCTTCCTACAACCATATGTTTTATTGTTTTCTCAATACGAACACGAGGGAGTGAACACTTGGCGACGCTCACTTTCCCTGGCGCCCGTCATCCTACATGTGGTAAATGTTGTCACTTCTGCAGGAGGACCTCCGACCTCATGGTTCCCCCACTAAACTTTTGCAAGAGGACCACTACCCCAATGGGCTCCCTAACATTGGTAACACCTGTTATATGAACGCCGTCCTCCAGTGCCTCTACCACACGCAACCTCTAACACAACACTTCTGGTGAGTCTTGCTTCTGCCTCGCTCATGCACTCATTATTGACGTTTGCAGACTCGCTTGCGCTCTCTCTCTCTCTAACAGAGAACATATAAACCTTGATGAAATATTAATGTAATATATGTACTGTATAATATATGTAATATATGTACCTGCAATATCCCCCACCTACTTATTAGCTACGAGTACTTCCTCCAGCTTAGTAACTACCAGTACTTTCTCCACCTACTTAGTAGACCCGGTACTTCCTCCGCCATACACCCGGTACTTCCTCCGCCATACACCCGGTACTTCCTCCGCCATACACCCGGTGATCTGTTGCATAAATTTATCTTTCCCCATTCAGTGCGGAGAGCGGAAAGCAAGGCAAAGTGTCAAGTGTGTACCAGGCTCTCGTCCGAGCCCTCGACTCCGGCACGGGCCTTCAAGATGCAGTCCAACGTCTCAAGGTCAGTTTCAGAGCGCTACTTGTGCTTTTCTGTTCCCATTCTCTACCTTTATCGTGGGTGGTCAGCTGAGAGGGGAGATTGATCCAATTATTGCCAATGAGAGCTGCGGTCATTGTTGTACACCTTAATAATTCATTTTGTCGGGGATAGACATTCTGTGTGTATATATATATAAATATGACAGTGTCAGACCACGGAGGAAGAATTGAAACAGGAATTTCTTCAAGTACTTTCGTATATTAATAAATCTTCAGAAGGAACGAAGATCTTCATTCCTTCTGAGATGTATCAATATACGAAAGTACTTAAGGAAATTCCTGTTTCAGTTCTTCCTACATGACCTGACACCATCACATTTTTCATCACTTGTTAATTTTCGTGATTTACACACATATATAAATATACACGTTAGGTTTATATCGAGCCCCCCCCCCCCCAGGATCGAACTTGGAACTTAGCTCCTGGGCTCCGCTTTCGTCTAACATGTTGGGAGCGAGATATGAGGGTATTAAACTTCGGCAATGACTGCAACTTTATGCAACCGCCAATAATTGGTGTATCTCAGATGGAGAGAGAGCGTCACATGGCACTAATCTCCCAACGATCATATAGGCGCCGGGTCTATATAGTTAGCAGTGATATAGTATATAACAGTATATAGTATAGTCTGGTTCGTTCTCGACTCACGATCGAGAATTCCGCGTTCGAATCCCGGGCGGGATTGAAATGGATGGGTGGGCGCATTTCTTATCACCTAATGCCTCTGTTCACCTGGCAGTGAGTAGGTACTCAGTAGTTAATCAGCTTGTTGTGGGGGTTGCATCCTGGGCGGGGTTAGTAATTCGACCTTGGGGGGGGGGGGGGGGGGGGGGGGGAGTGACCTTGTATACCGATATGTGATATGCTGTGTTCCAAGGAAAACTAATAGGGTCAGGCTTAACACGAGCTATGTATAAGTATTTCTATACCCACCTGTGTAAAAATATAAAAATAAAATACCCACCATATATTTTTATTAAACTTCAAAGCCTTTCCACACTGAAGCTCAACCTTATTGGCTTGCTGGGCTTGAGACTGCTAAGCCAGCATACATGATAAGTTTAAGATGCATGGTGACAATTATGATACTATAGGAAAGTATATAACAACTGAATTATGTCCTTGGCTTTCTACATAAAAAAGGAATTAAAGAATTAGATATCAAAGTGTGTACACATTTGTTTGAGATACCTCTCAAACGGCCTTGAGCGGCCTTGGGCCGCTCCAAGTAACAGCCTGGTGGACCAAACACTCACAAGTCGAGCCTGGCCTCGGGCCGGGCTTGGGGAGTAGAAGAACTCCCGAAACCCCATCAAGCAGGTATCAAACAGGTACCTAGTAGGGACGCTAAGAATTCGATCTATTTTTCTTTCTTTACCTGGTGTCATTTTTTTTATCTTTTCTTAACTATTTTGAGCTTCCTTTTATTATGTTTCTCATACTTCAGAAAATAGTGGGCAGCCAGGATGAGATCTTCTTGGACTGCGAACAGAAAGAAGCTCATGACTTCCTCTCAATGATGCTTCACTGGTTGTACGAGGAACTGCCCCATGTGAGTCAACAACCTGACCAAGATGATGACTTGACCAAGGTTAGCGAGGGTGTGACCAGGGTTGGACAAGGCAACACTAGGAACTGACCAATATAAGATGTGAATGCTGTTTTTCAGTTCATCACACTGGTGTTATTCTTTTCTGGAAGGAGCCTTTTATTGGCTTTCAGAAGCCATCTTGCCGACATGGCTCCCTACCACTGCTCGGCTTCAGTCGCTGGAGTCTTGTTTGGCCTACCGGGAAAAAAAAGAAGTGGAACCTGCCCCTCACTTCACAAAGGTACACGGAGCAAGGGACTATTATCGTCACCCCTCACCGGTAAAACATCCAAGAAGTCAGCGAAGATTTACAGACAATTGCAAAATTCATATGAAGCCAAGCATTGAAACAGCCAAACGACTCTACAAATTATTCAATCCAAAATTTTTTTTCGCTCAAAACTAGCTTCAACTTGTTAGTACCAATGGCTACCAACATACGACCTGGAGCTCCCAGCTAACAGCCGGCTTCAAGGTTAGTTTTGTCGCTGATAGTTACTCAGCTATAGTAGTGTGCTCCCTGGCTCGCCAACACTTGCAGTGAGTGACACTATTTCCCATATAAGTGTAGACCATCCTTCGGACTTTGTCCTTCGGGAGCTATTTGCTTATGTATTGTTCTTTTCTTTTAGTAGTCAGCCCGTCCTCATAAACAAAGGCCAAAGTCCATTCCATGCACCCGGCAAATCCTTTCTTTATGAATTGTAATCCACACTTCCGTGGAAGTGTTGATGACAATTTATGTGACGTGGGTGTGGATCACTAATTTATCTGAGCTTTAATAGTAGTCAGGGAAAGTCGAAAATTCCAGTTTGACAGCAGGATGCTGCTTCTGGAAACTTTCCTTATTAAGATTACTCAATAGCTCAGTCGATAGGGCTTTGGCCTTGTACAGGTGCTCTGTTTATGAATGAAAAACAGTTTACACATTACTGTACTCACAACTGATGACGTTTGACCACTTCTTGAACAAGTGCTTCGTTGCCGACCTCTGTTTGAATAGCAACCATTAAGTGCTTTACGGCATACTCATACTGCACTTCAAATGCAAATAGTCAGCAACCTAAACATGCAGTGCAACATATGCCTAACTGCACATAGAACTTTAATATAAATTTAAAATATATAACTTATATATGAGAATAAACATTTTTAATACATAGTACAGTATGTTAAAATTGATTAGTGCATCTTGGAAGGATGGCCACTGCTTTAACGAGCCTGGCCTAAGGAGAGGTTGCAGTTTCGACGCTTAATTTTCCATGAACCAAGCAGTTACCAGTAAAGCTTCACCGACATCCAGGATGCTTTCCTGGTGAGGGGTGACAGTAATGATGAGGGTAGCAGGTTCTTGCTCTGGTCTCTGGGCTCCTGTGACTGATGTGACCAAGTAATGGGGAGAGCCATCCCAGTGAGTAAAGCTTCAGGGAGCCATCAAGGGGCTCTACAGAAAGAGGCATTTTAGTACATTCAACGCTGGGTTTTATGAAGGACAGGAATGTGAGGCTGGTTAGATGGAGGATAATGTTTAGAGGTGTGACATGGTAAGAGATTAGAGAGTGGGGGGTAAGATGACTAATATTGGGAGGTGTGATGAGGGTGGGAGGTCCAGAGGGGGAGATAATATTGGGAAAACTGGATTAGAAGTAAAGTTCGGGGGAGTTATGGGGTGGGAGGTAGGACGAGGAAAATGTTGGGAGGTGTTATGGGATAGGAGGTGGGACAAGGGGGGGTGTGAAAGTGGTTAGTTAGGGAAGGGGTATAGAAGGCAAAGTTGCTTTTCTCCTTGATAACTAATATTTTGCAGGCACCCAAGAGAAGGAAGACAGGAGTGGAACTGTTCTATGGGGAGCATAAATCCACCATCACTTGCAAGAGAATTGGCAAAGTCCTAAACACTGTCCTGGAACCTTTCTCCAACCTCACACTACCTGTCAACAAGAAAGGCTGGTGTAGCTTACAGGTGAGTGAATGACCAAACTTGTGTAGCTTAAAGGTGAGTGAATGACCAAACTTGTGTAGCTTAAAGGTGAGTGAATGACCAGACGGTGGCGTAAAGGCGAGTGAATGACCAGACTGTGGCGTAAAGGCGAGTGAATGACCAGACTGTGGCGTAAAGGCGGGTGAATGACCAGACTGTGGCATAATGGCAAGTGAATGACCAGACTGGTGAAATAAACTGCAATGGTCCCTACTCATAAGGCACATACACCTGTCCTTTCTAGCACTTGGGGCATGCCACACCTTGCCTGCTAATGCCAGCTTCCTACAGGACCTCCTGGACCACTACTACAGGCAGCGGGACATAGAGTGGTGGTGCGAGAATTGTGGGGAGGAACACATGTGCCAGCAGCAGACCACCATCCAACATCTTCCTGACCTGCTCATTGTCCATCTTAGCAGGTAACACCACCAGGTCACACGTAACTGACCTGCTCGTCGTCCACATTAGCAGGTACACCAGCAGGTCACGTGTGTGCAACTTGCTTGTCATCCACCTTAGCAGGTACACCAGCAGGTCACACGTGTGCAACCTGCTCATCGTCCACATTAGCAGGTACACCAGCAGGTCACACGTGTGCAACTTGCTTGTCATCCACCTTAGCAGGTACACCAGCAGGTCACACGTGTGCAACTTGCTTGTCATCCACCTTAGCAGGTACACCAGCAGGTAACGTGTGTGCAACCTGCTCGTCATCCACCTTAGCAGGAACACCAGCAGGTCACGCGTGTGCAACCTGCTCGTCATCCACCTTAGCAGGTACACCAGCAGGTCACGCGTGTGCAACCTGCTCGTCATCCACCTTAGCAGGTACACCAGCAGGTCACGCGTGTGCAACCTGCTCGTCATCCACCTTAGCAGGTACACCAGCAGGTCACGCGTGTGCAACCTGCTCGTCATCCACCTTAGCAGGTACACCAGCAGGTCACGCGTGTGCAACCTGCTCGTCGTCCACATTAGCAGGTACACCAGCAGGTCACACGTGTGCAACTTGCTTGTCATCCACCTTAGCAGGTACACCAGCAGGTCACGCGTGTGCAACTTGCTTGTCATCCACCTTAGCAGGTACACCAGCAGGTAACGTGTGTGCAACCTGCTCGTCATCCACCTTAGCAGGAACACCAGCAGGTCACGCGTGTGCAACCTGCTCGTCATCCACCTTAGCAGGTACACCAGCAGGTCACGCGTGTGCAACCTGCTCGTCATCCACCTTAGCAGGTACACCAGCAGGTCACGCGTGTGCAACCTGCTCGTCATCCACCTTAGCAGGTACACCAGCAGGTCACGCGTGTGCAACCTGCTCGTCATCCACCTTAGCAGGTACACCAGCAGGTCACGCGTGTGCAACCTGCTCGTCGTCCACATTAGCAGGTACACCAGCAGGTCACACGTGTGCAACCTGCTCGTCGTCCACATTAGCAGGTACACCAGCAGGTCACACGTGTGCAACTTGCTTGTCATCCACCTTAGCAGGTACACCAGCAGGTCACGCATGTGCAACCTGCTCGTCATCCACCTTAGCAGGTACACCAGCAGGTCACGCGTGTGCAACCTGCTCGTCATCCACCTTAGCAGGTACACCAGCAGGTCACGCGTGTGCAACCTGCTCGTCGTCCACATTAGCAGGTACACCAGCAGGTCACACGTGTGCAACCTGCTCGTCGTCCACATTAGCAGGTACACCAGCAGGTCACACGTGTGCAACTTGCTTGTCATCCACCTTAGCAGGTACACCAGCAGGTCACGCATGTGCAACCTGCTCGTCATCCACCTTAGCAGGTACACCAGCAGGTCACGCGTGTGCAACCTGCTCGTCATCCACCTTAGCAGGTACACCAGCAGGTCACGCGTGTGCAACCTGCTCGTCATCCACCTTAGCAGGTACACCAGCAGGTCACACGTGTGCAACCTGCTTGTCGTCCACATTAGCAGGTACACCAGCAGGTCACGCGTGTGCAACTTGCTTGTCATCCACCTTAGCAGGTACACCAGCAGGTCACGCGTGTGCAACCTGCTCGTCATCCACCTTAGCAGGTACACCAGCAGGTCACGCGTGTGCAACCTGCTCGTCATCCACCTTAGCCGGTACACCAGCAGGTCACACGTGTGCAACCTGCTCGTCGTCCACCTTAGCAGGTCACACATTGTTGTTGACATGTCAACAAATTCCTAGGAGAAATTTACAATTTAATAATTTAAAACGCTACACAAAGTAATTCACTTGCAGCAGGTCAAATGCAATATGGATTATATTTCTTAAATTTGTGTACACTATTTTTTCAGCTTTATAACAATTTGTAATAGTTTTAGAGTGAAAGCAAAATATTTTTCACAACGTTTCACAGTTTATTTATATTAGCACTAAGGCAGGGTCTCGTTTGGTGGCTGATAGGGGCACTGCTAACACATCTGTTGTATCCTTACTATCAGCAGGTGGCAATCCTTTGTTTAGAGTTTATTTCATAACACACTGTAGCGAGTATATTATGCTAAATAAAGATAATCTGATGAGTAAAACGACATAGTTTCGATTTTGTTTTTCTTTCAATGTATAATACTGACCATCGACGCCAATTATTGCTCTGCCATACATTCCAAGGAACAATTGGTAGAATGGTCATCACCCTAGATTAACGCTCCAAGGGTGCTGAGTTTTTGGTTCGTATATTGGCCATAATCCGATCACACACACACACACACGAGGTCACAACATTATATTTAAGCTGTATCAACATAACACTGATACCACAAAATATCATTGCTATAGAGTACAACATTATGATGTTACTACGTTACAACATTACTACTACGTTACCTTGAGGTTACCTTGAGATGGGATCGGGGCTTAGCTTCCCCGTGGCCCGGTCCTCGACCAGGCCTCCAGTCGGTTTACGTTGCAGTCATGTCCTTGCGTGTGCTGAAATCCTGGCCTAGCATCCCATAGGTTTTGAGTGCCTTACATTGTGCTGAATACGTCCTCCTGCATTATCACAACATAAAACCAGTAGTAAATTTCCTAAATTTTATTTGTTGGTAAATACATTTATATCTTGGTTATTATAGCAATTATCATATAAATCTAATAAGTGGATAAACATGTACTAATTAATTTAACTAATTAACCATCAAATCTTAAAGTACATTAATTAACAATTTAAATTATTGCTATTAAATTATGTTAAATTATCTGTAGACTGATGAGCAGATAATTTTCAGTGTAAACTTAAATAAGCCCACCTTTAAAAATTTGTAGGTAAAATTAATTTGCACGTTAAATCACCAGGTACCAGAAGAATAACCTTCAAGGTGGGAAATCAAAACTGACCTTTCCATCAGAGGACCTCGATCTGACTGGCTTCACTAACGGGAAAGAGGAGTGAGTGTTTATATATTTTGTTATTACCTAAGTGTAGTTACAGGATGAGAGCTACACTCGTGGTGTCCCGTCTTCCTAGCATTCTTTGTCATATATAACACTTTGGAACTACTGAGAGTTTTGGTCTCCACCTCCTTCATACACTTGTTCCAACCACCTACCACTTTGCTTGTAAAAGAAATGTCGTGTACACCAATAAATAAATACACATACCCATGCAAGCGCATTCACTCTTAATTGCATTTGGAAAACAAGAGGTACTTTTTTCATTTCCAGGTCACCAAAACCCCTGCGCATGAATATCATTTCTAGGCAAATTAGCAAATCCACTATGAATACAGTATATTTCCAAACGTCATGGGTATGAGGGTAGATCACTGGCTGGCTGGACTCTACTGCAGACGACCTGGAAAACACAAGCCTTGGAACGGAAAATCAAGGGTACCGTATCAACATACAAATCATTCACTGAGGTAGAACCGGTGGCACGAATGTATTGTATTGGCAGAGAGCCACCACCGAATACGGCATATGATGCACCCCAGCCTAACCAAAACTCGATAACCATGGGATTCTTCAGCAAGCCTGCCAACTCAATCTTCACCTGAAAAGGAGATGGCTGCAGATGAACATAATGCCCACCAGCTCAAACGAACAAAAAACATACATCTAGAGAAGAACATGAAGTTCCCAACCCTACAACTAGTGGCAAACACTAATAGGAAAAAAAGAGCCTTAGAAAAAGAATCCCAGACTGAAATGGGCACCGTAAACCTTGAAGGAGGAGGAACGGTGAGAACACAGTCCAAGGATGAAAGGGGTTAAGGCGGTGCATGAGCAAGCCGGAGGTGAAACAATGCACAGGACAACTTCTGAAATAGTCCCAAGGAAGTATCTCTGGTAGAGCAAAGCTGCCAGAGGAAGGAAAAAGACATACTGACCCTACAAGAGGCCCAGCTAAATCTGAACCTGGGACAGAAGCAACTGGGACTCCAGCCAGTTGATCAAGAACTCTAATCTAGTGAGCTAGGAAAGAACGAGATTCCTGGCTACCAGACCCAGAACCACCCAAACGTAGCATTAACCTCTAACAAACTAACACATTTCTATTTTCAGGAGTCACCAGTACGAGCTGTATGGTGTGTGTGTTCACCAAGGGACGATGACTTATGGCCACTACTCTGCCTTCTGCAGAAGATGGGACTCAACCACATGGTTCCATTTCAACGATCTGTCCGTCAGGGTCATTGGCAAGAAACAGGTCCTCCAGCAACATAATGCCCACATCCTCTTCTATAAAACCCAAGGGGTAAAATACTCTTATGGGGAACCCAGTAAATGATAGTCTCTTAATACAAGGTACAGTGAAGGATAACTTTAATTAGGGCCAAGTGAAGAATGATCTTCTACCTAGGACCCAGTAAAAATATTCTCCACAGGAGACAATAGGGACAACTTTCTCCATAGGAGCCAGTATGGATAACCTCCACAGGAGCCAGTCGGGACAAGAACCTACCCTCTGCTCCAAGATTCGATAAAAAAAAAAAGGTGTTTCACATTTGCATTAAAGACTTGTCCACACGACCTATTCAGATCTCTTACATGACCTACTAAGCTACACCATCTCACACTATCCACTAACACAATAATCTCCTACAGAGCTCATCAAGTACAGTACCTCCTACAAAATCAGGCACACACACATACCTCTACAGAACTCAGGACAGCCCCACCTACAAACTACATGCCACTCCTAACCATGTGAATCAGGACAGCTTCTTGTTACGAGCCAGTAGTCCGCCTCGACACACTAGACATTGTTGTAGTCCAGTGGTCCACCTCAACTTATTAGACCCTACTGTGGGTACATGGTCCACCTTGATACACTGGGGTCCCTGTTGTAATCCAGTGGTCCATGTCAATCCACACACCAACACTGTGGTTTCTTCTCACTTTTACGATACTCAATAAGTAACTTAATCTAGTGCAATAAGGTATCCTCGGTTGTGAATATTATTACAGCATAATGATTGTCAATATTGTTGTTGCTATAATTTCTGCTTTAATATTATTCTTTATATTACATGAATATAAACTATTATAGATTTTATATATAAACAAGATTTGTATCCAAAATACAGTACATATTTAACAAACATTCCCACAAATGTTCCTTCTGATAAACTTTTTATTAATAAAATAACAAAACATCCTGCGGTTTTTGTTTATGCAAAATTCATTGTCAAACAATACATTATGGTTAAATGCTTTTTTCATCACAAGTGTAAACAATACTGGAAAAGAAAGCATTTATCAAAAAGAGAGCATGAAGACCATTTGACTATTTAGCAATAGTGTCGCAGAATACTTAAAAAATTCTAACATTATGGAAGCCAATACGTGAGCAAAAAACAAACGCTCAATGTAATATAACGTCAATTTCTGAGGGAAAGACCATTGTTAGAAGCCCCTGAAGCTACCATCTCCGATGTAGGTGCCACCAGTTGTGGAGTTCTCCAACCTACTGGGGGACCCAGAGCCAGAACCTGGTCCCCTCAGAGGTGCATGGAGCCATAGGATATTTATATCAAGTTCTACATTTATGCCACCACGAAGAAAGGCACCAATGGTGGTGCCATTCCTCCAATGTGCACTTAATCAACCCAAGCCACAATTGACCAGTCAGAATTTATTCCGATCCTTCTACTTTATCGCAAGATATGTTGTTCACCCACGAGCTGCAGCTATAGCGCAGATTGAGCTCCTTTATGGAAAGCATGCGGGTCTTCCTGTATGACTAATATATGAGCTGAATGTTGTTCAGTCCCAGTTTGCCGGGACGTGGAAAACTTATGCCAGGCCTCTCGGCCATCCCGCTGCCAGTAGTCCCCGCTGCGCCATGGGCCCTATGCTTCTATGGTTCATAGAACTGTATCATTGAAACATGCAAACCTGGTCACCCCTCACACAATTGTGGTCACACTACTACATATTACACACACATCTCCAAATCTAAAGTGTAAGCATTTTCTTCAAGTCAGGTGGTAGTTTAAATTCTTGTTATTAACCTAAGGTTAATGATGCCAATCGCACAAGCAGCTCGATAGTTAATGATCAAACGCAGGTTTTCAGATTCAACACAAAGCACTGCAAATTTAAAGTTCACATGATCAATATAAATCAATGTTTAGTAAAATAAAACACACTGTAACTATCATAATTTATTAACGTGTGAAAAAGGACCGAGGACATACAATCAAACATTTTGAACATCCGCTATATTTATAAATACAGTATTCTATTCTTTAGACTTGTTTTTTTGTTTTTAAAGTTTACATTTGTAAAAGTTTCAAGGTGTTGCTTAGTCGAGAGATTCACAGGTACCTCGCCACCTTTTGTACACCTTGACGAAACAAAGGCCACTGCTTTCATCCAGGAATAATAAATTAAGTTGAATTCTAAGATGGTAAGGGATGGGGTAAGACATGCAGTGCTCCACTCCATGGAAAAAACTTGGCTATATATTATTAACAATTGTGATGAAGGTTAAGTAGGCCAATAATTAAGGTTCTAACTGGTCTGATGCTAACTACTGTACATCTAACTTATACACAATGTTGTGTGATTTCTACAAATACCACATTTACTAAAACTGATATCGGGCAAGATTTAAGATGGGTCTTGTATAATGTACTCCAAAACCCTCACATACTCCATACAATAAATAAACTCACCCAATGAGATCAAGGGCACATGATCATGGTTACAATAATAGTGTGTATTATGCACTAACATCTCTGGATCTGTATTTCCCCAGTTGCCACCCAAACAGGTTGGTACAGTAAGCTTGTAGCCATATGTACAATATGTATGTCCAAGATAGTCTACATACATAATCTGCATAGAAATACCCATCAATATAATGTAAATAGTAACATCACTTCACTGAAGCCCACTTCAGAATGTCTTATCTAGTACTGTACTGTAAATCACGTAATGAGACGTTCCTTAAATTCACCCAAGGAATTTAAGGAATCTTCAGAAACAAGTCTGGTTGTTAATTGCATGCAAAATATATGGCATTCAAGTAGTCCCCGCTGCGCAGTGGTATGACATGCGCCTGGCACTTCACGAGTGCTTTGGCCTGGGTTCGGATTGACCAGGTGCCAATCCTTAACTGCAGCCTCTGTTCACCCAGCAGTGAATGGGTACCTGGTTGTTAAACGATTTGGCGGGTCGTATTCCGGGGAAAATTAGGATTAAGGACCTGCCCGAAATGCCATGCATGCTTGTGGCTTTACAAGAATGCAAGAACTCTTATATATATGAATAAATTAATATTTTTCTGCCACCATTTATGTTGCCTAAGAAAAAAACTAAATTAATAGCACAGTACTAATACATTTCTCCATTACCCCCATTCCCCATTGCCATTGTGTGGGGAGGCATTTGAGATCAGTAATCAATATTACAAAAACCTAATAAATTCTTATACACTGTATTACTCTTTCCACTACATGGTAAGACGCGTGAAAAACTGCCAAGGAATAAATTGCCAAATTTTATACAGTGACACCTCGTGTAAAGTTACGAATGCCCCTCTTTATGAACTTTTCGGGTTACGAGCCCAATTTCTTCATAAAATCCGAATTGGGTTACAAACTTTGCCTCGGGTAACAATAGTTTGTTGATAAAGTGTATGGCCAGTACCTAGCGCTGTGGTGGCACGGCGACTGCGCCTCAGTTTACCAGTGCCTCCTGCCTAGTGACAATCGTGGAGAACATACGGAATTCTTTGTAAAGAATTTTTAGTGTTTTTTTTTCTTCGTAAAATCTGAATGGGTTTGGGTATTTGAACATAAAAGTTATTATTATATATCTCGCCATGGGTCCCAAGAAAGCCAGTGATAAAGTTCAATCCAAGAAAACACATGTGAAGATGACCATAGAGCAAAAAACAAGAGATCATTCGTAAACATGAAAATGGTACACGGGTTGTTGAACTAGCTAGGCAGTACAACAAATCTATGTCAACAATATGCACTGTAATTGCTAAGAAAAAGGACATTATGAGTGCTAAAGTGGCAAAAGACATATCAACAATCACGAAACAAAGAACACAAACATTTGAGGATGCTGAAAAGTTGTTATTAATTTGGATATACGACAAGAAGTTAGTGGGTGATAGCATTTCAGAGGCCATCATTTGTGAAAAAGCCAGGCTATTACATGAAGACTTTTTATAGAAAACCCCCTGGAACAAGTGATGCAGATACGAAAAAGTTTAAAGCGAGCAGGGGAGGGATGGTTTGAGAAATTTAGAAAAAGAAGTGGCATTCACAGTGTTGCGAGAGGTGTGAGAGTTGTGAGTTGGCGGAGGAACACAGCGAAGAACTGACCACCGAAGAAATCCTAGCCCTTCACAAGGAGCAACAAGAGGCAGCTGAGGAAATTTCTTCAGGGGAGGAGGAGGAGAAGGCAGTAGAGAATGTCCCTTTCTCAACAATTGAGAAGTGGTGTAGACTATGGGAAGAAATGCAAGCTTTTGTTGAAATGACTCATCCAGAGCAAGCTGTAGTAGGCTATTGCATTAACCTTTTTAATGACACTGTGATGCCTCACTACAGACAAGTGTTACATCGTAGGAAAAAAAAATCTCTATGGAAAGGTTTTTAGAGAGGAAAACAAGCAGTGAGCCACAAGCAGGTCCTAGTGATATACAGGCAAAACGTGCCAGAGTGTACCCCAGAGAAGTCATCACTGCCTGATGTTATAATGGAAGGGGGACTCCCCTTCCAAACACTAACACCTCTTCTCCTTTCCCCCTCCTCTCCATCTTCCATATGCCAACAAGTTATCATAAAAGTAAGCAATAACTTGTACATACTTTAGTACTAAAGATTTGGGTGAATTAGGTATAAAATTTACCTTGAAGTTAATATTTTTGAGAGTATGGAACGGATTAATTCAATTTACATTATTTCTTATGGGAAAATTTGCTTCGTCTCTGGGAATGGATTAATTTCGTAAGCCGAGGTACCACTGTACACCCTGTAAGTGATTAAAGTGTTCACCTTAGTGAACAGTAGCACTGTGAGAAGGGAAGTAAGACCCCAAATAGCGAGAGTGAGCTGCCATAAGGCCCAGGATGACACATTATTGATCGCATGCTGGAGTTGGAGGAAGAGTCGTTGTCACCACTACAGCAGAGATATTATCAAAATAATGGGTTGAGAAAATGCCAGGGAAAAAGGGAGGAAGCGAGACCATTTAGGACACAAGTAATGCTCATAACATATCCTTGGGAAACACCTTCATATTGTTGAAAGGAGTTTGAGAAAATAATACCAAGTCTCACTTGAAATGAATGACGAGAGAGGAAGTTTTGGTGGAAAAGTGGGAGATTGCAATGACGGCCAAGAGAATGCGGTTGGGCTAAAATATTGTATCTCCAGGTGGTGACTTTGCATTCGCCAAATCAAAAAGAACTGCAACAATGGAGGAAATCACTGCAAAGACAGTATGAATGTAGACCTCCAAGGCCACCAAGATATGTCATGTGATAGCTGTGACACTTGCGAAAGCCAAATTGGAAGAATGAGAAAGAGAGGTAGCAATGATGTTCCAGGAATCACTCGAGAAGTACAGTAACCATACATTTAAAGAGGCTACCCAGAAGGTCAGTCAACAAGCTGGAAATGTGAGAACATCCCACTGGTCTCCAGATAAACAAGACTCATCTAATCCGACCTCAAATAATTATAAAATAAATAACTGCAAGAAGAGACAATTAACATCAGTGGTGTTATTTTGTTTTGTTTAATAACCATGTATTACAGAGTGGAATATGAAAATTCTTGAGCCTCTGGAACCTATTCCTATTTTTCCGTATGTAGTCTAGTTCAACTTATGCAGAATCTGCATAAGTTGACAATCTTATACCGACATGGTTTTCTTGAACACAATACCTCACTGTAGATGATTTTGTTTTGCCAATACTGTACTTTCTGGGTAGTTTCACTTGGTTATGAGGTTAATCTCGGGTTCCTGATGGTTGGCAGGCTGGCACACATGCAGAGGCCTGTCAGTGCTGTGGGTCTCTGTGGTTACCCGAGTCGATGCACACAAGACCATTATGGTACTGTATATGCTCATTCAAATATTTTAAGAGCATTAGAGGGAAAAAAGTCTATTTTTAAACCTCAAAGGGCTCTGGTCATTTGCAAAAGCACTCAAATCTGTCTTAATTCTATAATTCATGGGATTAAGACAATTTACATGTTTGATCACATCACTTTATAAATAAAAATAAAGGTACTGCAATATACAGTACTTTACTTGGGTACCACACATTCTAACAAGAAAAAACAAAACAAACCATCCGAATATACATTTCAATTCTATGTAAAATGTTAATTTTAATTAATGATTGGATGCATTAAAAATACTTATGACTAGTCAATTCCATGTTCACTACAGACATCATAAACTATTTTAAAATTTTATAATAGTAACATATTCTAACCGAGTATAAAGATAGAAACGCTTCATTTATCCATAAATATTTCAATTTCTGCACAAGGTTACAAATTTTTATGTACTTTTGTTTTAGCTGTCAAGGACTTATCCTTGAACAAATCTCCATACAAGAGAGAAATTGTACCTTCAAGACAAAAAATAATTAATGATAATAATAATTCATTATGTCGGGGGACAGGCAGCCAGAGTGTATTTATGTAAGTTAGGTTTATATTGAGGTTTCCCCTCCCCCCCCCCCCCCAAGGTCAAATTACTGACCCTGCCCAAGATGCAACCCCACAACAAGTTGACTAACTCTGGAGTACCTACTTACTGCTAGGTGAACAGGCCCATTAGGTGAAAGGAAATGTGCCCAACCATTTCTGTCTCATTCGGGATTCTCAATTGTTAGTCAAGAACAAACCCGACTGTACTACTGGGACCCCTCAAAAATGTAGTTACTGTTTAAACTTAAAAAAAAAAAAAAATGCATCTATTAACAATTTAATATTTCCAGATGCTCAGCTTTCTTTTTCTACTCAAGAGAAATCCTTCAAAACTCGAGGATCCTTCAAAATTGGAAGTGTTCTATTTTTTAAGAGTCGAGGTAGCAGTGTTAAGACCATCAGCATTGCATATGAAATTTGTGTGAACCTTAAAAGCAACTCTTCGTGAGCAGACAATCACACGTCTGGCATAAACACACCATTACTTTCACTACATGAAGCCCCAAACCAAACAATAATTGACGGCCACCAACATGTAATGCAAGACATCGACACGGGGCAAGTTGACCAGTTGGATATCTCCCTCGGATCCCACCAAGCCCGAGATTATGAAGAAAACGGCTGCAGCTGCATGCATCATGTTGCCACCTGTAAGGACATTGGCTAATATTACACAAATGATAATACACAATTAAAAACAGCGGCAAGACACAAAATAACTGATGACGCAGACAATGATTCACAATAACACTGAAGCCACACACACACATCTGAAAAGAAAGTGATGACATTTTGGTCCATCATGGAGAATTATCAACTTGATAATGGTCCAGGACAGACCATATGTTGTCACTTCCATTCTTTTCAGATGTGGGGGGTTGGGTATCCACCTGGTGATCTAACAGCAATACCACTGGATTTTGTCTTGCAAATATTAGTTATGAATGAATATAACCAGCTACGAGAGAGAGAGAAAAAAAGTTAAATTTACTGAGAAACAGTGTAAATGCAAGATTATATTTACAAGAAAGTTTAAGTGCTGCAAATAACAACTAAATTGATCACTAACTTAGATCATATGGAGGGACAAACCCCCTTATTCTAGTTGCATTGAGATCCGAGATAGAGAGGTTTTTACATTGTGGGTTTATAACATATTTGTATGTTAGAGCAACCAATAAACTTTATATTTCCACATACTGTACAGTACAGTATATTAATAACAGAATAACACTGTTATGGCAGTAGTTTTATAGAAATAAATAAAATTATATCAAAAGAAAATGAAACATCTTTGAGGATGTTCAATGCTATCATGACCACCTTCAGATTGGAATACTGTATATTACAGTAAAGAAACAGTACAGAAAATGTTAAAACTGAAAGATTTTAATACTGCATATAATTTACATGAACATATAAATATAAAATGTTTAGATTTGCAGTTTAATAAACCTAATGTAACCTAGCTCTAAAATTACTGTGCAAGTGCTCTTCATCTCGGTTTTTATTGCCAATGCTGAAGTTTCGCTGGACGAAAGTCGTCGGCATTCATGTCTTAAAATATACAGTACATGCATCCATTTAGGCCTCTCTTTTTTTTATTCGACTTATTGATAATCAGCTGATGTTCTACCTACAGTATGGATATATCACATCGAGTTCTAAATGTCTCCTGCGCAGAATTCAAACTTGGACCATTCTGTTGCAAGTAGATTGTGCTCACTACAGAATGCTGTATCACACACACAGGGAAGGAGACTGTATGTGGAAGGTAGCAGACAAATGAAAATTGCCACAAGCTTCTCCCCTCCCCCCCCCCCAAAAAAAGAAAGAAATTTCAATGCATATATTTTCCCAGTGCATCATGCTACCATTTTGCTAGTGGTCAATTTTACTTTGATAGAAAGGAAACCATTGCCAATTTGCCAAGCTAGTCAAAATATAACATTTCTTCATTAGAATGCTTGATACATCATTTTACTTAATATCAACAATGCTGTATAAGCTAGTCAATATCAAGTACCCAGAACAGTATGTACTTTGACTCTTGGACAACGGCTATATAAAAATGGTCATTCCTGCATATGTGCACAAAAATACAAACTTAACAAAATTTTTTTATGATAGAATTATTAATTTGTATGCAAAATGTATGAAAAACACAACAAGTGAATATTTACCTTTTTACTGCATGGAGGCATTCTGAAAGGTTGCACGGTGCCTATGTCATCTGGCATCTGTCAACACACGATGCTGACTTTACTGACGCTGAGGTATGCAAGACACAACTCCTGTGTTCTCCTTGGATGTTTCATTACTTATTCATCACTTGTTTCTCTTTAGTTGCAATAATGTTTGTGGAATTATATGATAAATCATATAATTCACATAACACATGATAATGTTTCAACTGACGAATGATTGACCGATGAAGATTAAGCCACCCAAGAGGTAGCACGGGCATGAGTAGCCCGTAATCCAACTCATGATTGGTTTACCTGGTATGCTGTACTTCATTACAACCACACAGAGTAGTGAAAACCATATACACATAATATACAATGGTGTTGGGCTCTGGGCGATGACATAGGGCCTAATTGGCACCATAAGCACAACAATATAGATTGAAAGACAGGCATAAGCCACCAATGTGCCACCAACGGATGACGGCAGTCTCCTATTACATGTATCACATAATATTAGTTCAATGGATGATTGGTTTACCTGGTATTATACCTCATTACAACCAGAGTTGTGAAAACCATATCAACATCATTGGCGTACACATCATGTAATTATGACAGGATTTTATACAATGACCGTATTCACCCAGGAAAAATTTATGATGATAACCGCATTCACATAGTAATATAACCATGAAACGATATGATTTTTTTTCCATGGGGTCAAGGTAAACTCCATTACATGTACATAGTCATTATATCCTTATTTGCATTATACATGTAAACCTAGACAATAATGGTTCAAATCATCATGTGACAATAACCACATTACCCCACTAATCAACATCTAATAACTGCTGCCTAGGGGTTAAATGAACCCCTTAATATGCAAGGCTTAAAAAATTATCCCTGCACAATGGTTTACTGTACATACCTATCACGGACAATCCAAGTATAGCCGACACAGATGCAGTGCTGACAACGTCTGTTAGCTGGTCCTTGTGGCGACTCTTTAGTGATGAAGTTATAAATGTTGTCACTGCGCTTAACAGGAACAACTGAAAAGAGAAAGTGCAAATTCATTTAGAAGTCGTATGAGTTGCTTCACACTATTAACTCAAAAGTACAGAATGGAGCCTCACATTTAACATCAGTTCCTAAACTCAAGCAGAAGATCATAAGACACACCCGAACAACACAGCCCCCTCCAACCCATGGACAAGACGAGGGGCCCATGTTCCTGATAATACTCCTTCCATCCAGGGTAATCTGGATTAAAAGACCAACCTAGTGATACAGCTAAGAAATAGGTCATCATGGGTACATCAGTATTTCCATTCCCTTGATACCCAGTTGACACGTAGCTACTGACACCTGGTGGCATGCGAACAGGTGATTAGCAGTGCTCCTTGACATTTGCTTTCATGTTGTGATCATTTTCATGGCTTTTGAATGAAGACAAATGAATCTTTTAGAATAGATGAAGAATTCACTAATGTGTCCCTTGAACCAGTATGACCCTGTGGAGGGGATTTAAAAACATCCAAGCCAATTACAGTAAGCACAAAATGTTGACTTACCTCAACTGTAAACAGTTCTGTTCACAAGAATAGGAGTCAACTACATGAGCTTCTGACTGATGTAGAAACAGTAATGTCTACAATATTCCAATCAGCTAACATCATCTCAATCTTCTTGAGTATCGTTCATTTATTATGCCTAATCAATTTCCCATTCCCATGCCTAATCAATTTTTGAAAAATCAACCACACCTACATTGTGTCTTCTGTATTCACATTTGAATTTGAAACAAAGCAATAAGAAATAAAATGGACACTTACCTGGCTAGCAGTGCTGTATTTATATGTACGACAGATTTCCGCTGCCAAGCAAGGAATACCAATGGCCCGACACAGCCATGAAAAGTTGGTGTGGTACCGCAACACTGATGCGCGGTAACTTGGTAACACTGGAAATTTAAGCAAGTTTCAAAACATATAGCACTGCTTAAAAAAAAAAACTCTACTGACTATACAGTTAAAGGGTTGACACTGCTTACTGTGAACTAAGTAGCTAGAGAATAAACCAAAATATAGCCATTATCATTTGGAACAACAAGCAAAATATAAATGAGCAAGTATCCAAAGCAGTGTTTGCATGGATAGAGTAATTATGTAGGGAAGTGACCCGTGCTGCAATTAGTGTACAATTTGTTACCACTCTATGGTCACCTATAAAAGTATTGTTCAAGTTACTGTACATATTAAAATACAATTAATAAGTTTTGGAAAACCGTCTGAATGAAGAGGGGGCATTTTCCTATAAAATTATATCAAAATACATAGATAGTTTAACAACAGTGTTCACAAAGTGTTGGGCCATCTGACTGCCAGAGTTCAGCAAAGGACGATATGCTGCCCATTTGCAAATGAATTTGACCAGTACAGGTCTAGAAATGTTCCGTGGCTAGTATTGTAGAAACCATCGAGAGTTAAAGTCAAATATTACTATATGAGGTAGCATATTGTGTCAGCATTCTTTGGTGTAGAGTGCTACTGTGTTTGGCACCTTTTTTTTTTCGGATAGCTTCCCCTCTGACCGAAGACTAGCATTGGCCACTCATGATTGGTGGTTCGTTCCATTGGGAACCAAGGAATGTTCAGATCTGATATTAATATGCAAGATAAAAATATGATTTTATGCTTCCTGCTGGCATTTATAACTGTTTAGATAATCATAGGTTTGGCCAAACACTGGCACTCGGTCTTCAGTGATGCTGATGTTCTGGAGAAAGTTTACTATAAAAAAACTATTTACACAGTAACACACTGTATTACACACTCAGTACTTCGGAAGTGAGTGATAATCAACAAAGAAGTCCATGGTACACAGCGCGACTTCGCTCTCATTGCACCAGGTACAGATAAGATTTTCGCTTCCTGTTCTACGTTCTGTGTGCTTGCAAATAACGCACTCATGTACACCCTTGGCTTTAGTACCTGTAGGTGGTAAGTAGCCAAGCTTGTGAAGCATAAGGTAGTCTTGAAAAGATTATAGGAAAAGATCTATTTGTAAGGTAGTCTTGAAACGATTGCTTTGTAAGGTCCCTCGCTGGAAGAGATTCAGTCATTCAGAAAGAGTGTCAGTCATTCTGGAAGAGATTCAGCTATTCTTGTAAATATATGGAAAACACCACCATGGAAGCCGCTAACACTGTTCATCTATGCTACCTGTATCAGATGCATCATTACTGAACCCAGAAAACAATTCATCTATGTATCATCTATAAAAATTGGAGATGGCAATGGTGGTGCTCAGAGCTACTACTGGATACGCTCGCTATATTATCCTCATCGGTGTTGTATCACTAGCATCTGACCTTTGTGTTAGGTCCTTATTGCATCTAGCTTGATCAATATGATGACCCTTTATGTTCTTCAAACAATAAGGTCTGAATTACACCAACAGAGAGCGATCTTTCAACACCACGTCGGACAGGTGTTTGGGAGCCAGAGGCACATGCACCACCCATGGTTGCTCACTCAGTACTAACCCAGCCAGCAGCCCTAGGGCATTTTGGGAATATTTTCCAAGATGGCTGCCTCTCACTAGAGGACCCAAGAGTTCATTTCGACACAACCTACCGCGCACACATTTTGAATGGGTACAAAATAATCGAAAGGTGTTTTCTCGGTTGGTGCAGTTTCCGGGAAAACTGTGCCAACCGAGTTTGGCGCAGTTTGGCGCAGAACCAAAACTCGGTTCCCAACCGAATTTTCTCGGTTGGCACAGTTTCCCACCGACTGAGTTTTCTCGTTTGGTGCAGCACAGTGGTTAAGAAGCATGGACAGCCGTGGAAAACCAAAATTAAATTTTAATTTCATGTTTCTTTTAGATATTTTTCATACTGGGTAAGCACCAGTGACTGGGTGAGCACCAGTGACATTACACTATTGAAGAAGTGACTCTTGCTATAACTGGTGTGAGGGAGGGAATTGTAAGGGATATGTCTCCCTTATTCTAAGAAGGCATATGAAATACTGTAGATATATACACTCCCTCATTAAAGACATATGACTTTTTCTCTCGCACAGGGTGCATGAAAAGCATATACAATACCTCCCTTCCCCCTCATAAGGTGCATAGAAGACATATGCCTTCCTCCCCTCCCCTCACAGGATGCATGAAAGATATATGCTTCCCTTTCTCTCACAGGGTACATGAAAGCATATGCCTTCCCTTGACAAGACATATGAAGAGGCTTGTATCTACTGAATATAAGGTTTCATCTTGGATTACACAAACCTTTTCACATAAATCATACTTAAAACTTAGAAAATGCAAGTCAGGAGGTAACAGGAGGTTATATTGTAATAAAAATCAATAAATTGTTAAATTAATGTGTAGCATACTGCACCAGAATATAGAAATATTAAATCAATTTTATTGAAGTACTACATAGTATGACCATACTCACGAGCAGCAAATCTAACTACACCAAGTGTAGCTGCCATCGTCACAAGCATGAACCACCATTTGCCAAATTGGTGTTCTGAATGAGAATCCTCGTGCAGCATCCGGAAGCCCCAAACAGCAGACAAGGCCAGAACAAAGTCTGACAATGCAGTTGAGAGTTGCCTCTTCATCAGTGCCATCTGTCAAATTCAGTCCAAAATAATATTTTTAAATAACCCTTAAACAGCTGAGTTAATTAAAAGTCCTGCATGATGGTGCACATGACAAAAAAAAAAATCACAAAACTAATAAAATTTGACAGAAATGTAAGGTATTGGAAGGGTACATAAATTACATTTATGATTAAAAATTTTATTTTTAATTATTAAATTAAATAATTAATAAATATTAAAAATTATATTTGGCGAGTTATATAAATTTGTTAATACCAAAACATAATGAACAAGGTAAATTTTGTAGTGCGAGTGGACAAGGCATTTGTAAGCAGAGAATAAGTTTTATAACATGACAAAATTAGGTGAACTTGACAAGGGTCAAGGACGGACCGACACATCCTCACGCTCCTTCTCTTCCTATGTGTGGGTTGGGCATTAGAAATTTGTAATGACACAGGCAGTACATACATCATATGATACAGTTACAAAGTTAAACAATGCCTCATAGATCTGGAGGTAATGTATGATTAAATGCAAACACAAGGACTGAATAAGATGGTGTGCTTAGACAGACCCAAAATAAAATTGTTAAATGAAATGAGATGTTAAGGAAAGAAAGAAAGAGAGCAACAGTAATTGTGGTAATATGTAAATAAAATTATAAGTTATAAATAAAACAGTGTGATGAGGTGGGGTATGGTCATGTTGTATATCTGCACTTTGACAAGGAACACTTAATTGTTAACATCACTGAGTGAAATTCTAATTTCAACCTGTCATATGAAGGGCAACAACCAAAAGAGCCTGTCTGTAAAGAAATTTAACCACATCTAGATAATTTTCCACACCCAAGCCCCTTAATCTCCTTTTCAAAGGAAAAAAGGCCCATATTTTCTGGCCAAAAAACTCTGCAACTGGAAATACAAAAATGAGCACAGAATTTGGTTTTTAATATGCTGAGTGGTTGTACAATTTTGGAATACATTTCACGGGTTGACCCAACTGACACTTGGGTCAGATTCCAATATGGTGTCAGACATCTGTCAGAAAGATAGGATCGAATGCAGTTTAGAGCACAGTCTCGGATTCCATAGTGGTGAAGTTTAAGTAAGAAGTAGTTATGGTTTCCAGTATTAAAGACCTTTCTCAGGTCAATGAAGAGGCCACTTGGGAACTTATTTTTGTCAAGGGCTGTGTAGATTATATTAACCAGACTAATAATGGCATCATTGGTACTCTTTTTGGGAACAGAATCCAAACTGGGCCGGGACTTAATATGTTGAATTTTACAAGCTAGGAGTAGAGCTGTTTGTAAATAATTTATTCAAATTTTTTTATAGTATTGACAGATTTTATATTAGTCAGCAATTCTTTATGTCAGCTGTATTGCCTCCTTTATGAACTGGTGTCACTCTGGCTATTTTTAAGGATTTCATGACAGTATGACATTCTTAAGAGATATGATGAAGAGCAGAGATATGGGGTGGTGCAAGGGCATGACCGGTACTCTTATACATCATAGTTGCTATTTCACTAATGTTTCCAGCTTTGGTTTTATGCAAGTTTTAAGTTATGGACTTAAGCCATGGATATTTTTGCCAGAAACGCTATGCGTATTAGTAGTTTTTGGTATTGTATGTACTAGTTCTATCTATAAATCCAACATTATGTTTGTAACTCATCTAATGTATATGTATTTTTAGGTGAATAAACATTGTGATTTAGATTTGATTTTGATGTGTGTCGGGCTGACTTGTCCTCCCAACACTGGCTCACCTTGAGACTCGTCCAGCAACAATCAGGCGTCTCACCTGCCCCACATGACACATACAATCAGTCACCCAGATATATGACAACAGTACACTCAGAGTCTCCTCCTGTAAACCTCCCCAGAGTTGTTAATTTAGCCTCTCCCAGAGTCTACCACGGGAGGCGACGGTCATCACAACAATGGCGGGGACAAGTTTCCCCGGCACCAGGCTCCCACCTTCTCCAGAGATGTAGTGAGACATCTTTCGTCTTTATAACCTCATTACCATACGAATGAAATATAAAACGATATCTATCTCTCTATTGATATGTTCTACCAATAATTACAGGTGTGATTTACGAAGCTTGCTCAGTTTTGTCCTGGTAATTAGTGCTGCGGTACATTTTCAGTCCCACTAAGATCCTGGCAAAGATATAGGTTTTTCAGCTATTAGACCTCTAGGAAATGTACATGTTTATCTCTCAGAATGTTTGGTAACAGGTTTATTGTTCGTGATGTATGTCTATGTATGTACTAACACGTTGTACTGAACGGGGTGAGAATAGCTTGAGCTACCTCATCCCTTTGTGTGTATTTTACCTCAATAAACTTATTTCAATTTCAATTTCAATTTCAAGTATAGGTATTATAACTCTTAATGAGCAGCTATTATGACTATAAATAAACATCTATTATAACTCAAAAAGCAGTATAACTAAAAAGCAGCTATAATATTATTATTATTAAAATGCAGCTATTTTTCCCTTATTAAAGTAGGCATTTATACCTGACGCCTCTACATGGGTTATTCATGCCCGTGCCACCTCTTGGGTGGCTTAATCTTTATCAATTAATCTGACGCCTCTAACACTGGTGGCCTCGGCGAGGACAGAAAGACGGCTGCTTGTCAAAGTTCCCACCATTTCAAATAGTTTCGTTATTTTCAAATATTTCTTTCCAGAGTGGTTCCTTTTTAACAATAATAATCTATTATATTAGGAGTATGCATTATTGATTTTGTTAGGTTAGGTTTGTTCAAATTGCTATTTTAGTTTTGAATCAAAATAAACAAAAAAATAAAACATATATAATGCAATAGAAAGCCGTATTATTCCATAAGAAATAGTATTTGAAAATAAAATATTTCAGGAAAATTCGGCTTCGAACAATGCTTCTCGGAGCATTGTTCGACAAATCCCGGTAGTTCAGTCAGATTCGTTCTCGACGCACAATCGAGAATTCCGGGTTCGAATCCCGGCGGGACAGAAGTGGTTGGGCACATTTCCTTTCACCTAATGCCTCTGTTCACCTAGCAGTAAGTAGGTACTCAGTAGTTAATCAGCTTGTTGTGGGGGTTGCATCCTTCGGCCTTGGTGGGAGGGGGGATCCTCGATAAAAGCCAAAACGTGTATGAATGCAGTCTGGCTTCCTGTCCCCCGACATAATGAATTATTGTTATTAAATAATCGAACGTCATCAATTGGGAGTCATGTAAACGGTTTTTAATTAAAAGCAAGGGTTTAGGCGGCTGGATTAACGAGCATTTCGCCTTTGTTGATGAGGACAGGCTGATTCTTGACCGCCGGCAAGCTAAACCTGAAACGACTATAGTCGCCGCTGCTTCGCTGTCTTGAATGACTCCTCATTCTTCATGTTCGGTGATCCGAACATGACGCAAGGTCCGGGTCAACCGTCAGTATAACACCGGCAGAGGACCAGTGAGGATGTGAGTAGATAGCGCACATGGAGTCACTTATCGACGACTGAAGGTTATATTCTGTAAACTTTGTGTGGGAGGCCATGAAGGTCGTGCGAGTTGTGTATCTGTAAGGTGAAGTATTAATGGTGGCAGTTTTTCTTACTGTTGAGATCCAATGTGTATGGAGCTAGCCTGGTGTTATTGTTTTTTTATATTTTTAGAAAAACAAAAACGAAAGGCGTTGGTCATGTTTTTAAGGACTGTGTTTAGGCAAGGAAACTGATAACGTGCAATTAGTTCATCTAGTCTAATAAGATACCTTATGTAGGCTGTAATAAGAGTATGGGAAGGGTGTGTAATATTACCATGGTGGTTCATATTAATCTACTGGTATTGACGAGTGCCTTTTAACAGCATGGATTCCATGCCAGGCAACAACTCCGGAACTAGGCAACAACCTAGGTCTGGTCGCCGGCGGATCCTGGCTGTAAACCACGTCCATCCTTAGTATTGGGTCCAGTGCAGTTTTGTTAAACTCTCCCATTGGCCACAAACGTGTACTGTTAGTATCTGCCCAGCGGTAGTAGTTTGACAAGTTTTAAGCAGACATGAGGAAACTTCTCCGGATAGGACGGTCGCTTATATAATAGTGCTTCAAAAATTTGCGTTAGACTACTCGGAAATTGAGGTTCAAAATATTGGGCGTTTAGTCACGTGATACCTGGTTGATACCTGGTTGATGGGGTTCTGGGAGTTCTTCTACTCCCCAAGCCCGGCCCGAGGCCAGGCTTGACTTGAGAGTTTGGTCCACTAGGCTGTTGCTTGGAGCGGCCCGCAGGCCCACATACCTACCACAGCCCGGTTGGTCCGGCACTCCTTGGAGGAATAAATCTAGTTTCCTCTTGAAAATGTCCACGGTTGTTCCGGCAATATTTCTTATGCTTGCTGGGAGGACGTTGAACAACCGCGGACCTCTGATGTTTATACAGTGTTCTCTGATTGTGCCTATGGCACCTCTGCTCTTCACTGGTTCTATTCTACATTTTCTTCCATATCGTTCACTCCAGTACGTTGTTATTTTACTGTGTAGATTTGGTACTTGGCCCTCCAGTATCTTCCAGGTGTATATTATATATCTCTCGTCTTCTTTCTAGTGAGTACATTTGGAGGGCTTTGAGACGATCCCAATAATTTAGGTGCTTTATTGCGTCTATGCGTGCCGTATATGTTCTCTGTATTCCCTCTATTTCAGCAATCTCTCCTGCTCTGAAGGAGAAAGCGAATACTGAGCAGTATTCAAGACGGGACAACACAAGTGACTTGAAGAGTACAACCATTGTGATGGGATCCCTGGATTTGAAAGTTCTCGTAATCCATCCTATCATTTTTCTGGCTGTCGCAATATTTGCTTGGTTATGCTCCTTAAACGTTAGGTCGTCAGACATTGTTATTCCCAACTCCTTTACATGCTGTTTTCCTACTATGGGTACATTTGATTGTGTTTTGTACTGTATTATGTTTAAGGTCCTCATTTTTACCGTACCCGAGTACCTGGAATTTATCACTGTTAAACATGTTATTTTCTGATGCCCAGTCGAAAACTTTATTAATATCAGCTTGAAGTTTTTCAATGTCTTCAGCCGAGGTAATTTTCATACTGATTTTTGTCATCTGCAAAGGATGATACGAAGCTGTGACTTGTATTTTTGTCTGATATGAGAATAAGGAAAAGCAGCGGTGCAAGGACTGTACCCTGAGGTACAGAGCTTTTAACTGCACTTGGACTAGATTTTATATGGTTGACCGTTATTCGCCGAGTCCTGTTTGACAGAAAACTGAGTATCAAGCGTCCTACTTTACCGGTTATTCCCATTGACTTCATTTTGTGTGCTATCACGCCATGGTCACATTTATCGAAAGCCTTTGCGAAGTCCGTGTATATCACATCATTCTGTTTTTCTTCTAATGCCTCTTTGTCGTAGTGCTCAAGTAGCTGGGAGAGGCACGATCTTCCCGCTCGAAATCCATGTTGGCCTGGGTTGTGAAGGTCATTGGTCTCCATGAAATTGGTGGCCTGACTCCTAATCACTCTCTCAAATACTTTTATGATGTGCGATGTTAGTGCAACTGGTCTATAATTCTTTGCCAATGCTTTGCTCCCTCCCTTGTGTAGAGGGGCTATGTCTGCTACTTTAAGTGCATCTGGTATCTCCCCCGTGTCCAAGCTCTGCTTCCACACTATACCGAGTGCCTGTGCTACCGGCACTTTGCATTTCTTTATAAATATTGAATTCCAGAGTCTGGACCTGGGGCCGAGTGCATGGGCATGTTTTCAATTTCTCTTTCAAAATTTAGTGCGCTCGTGTTTATATCAGTTATATTTACAGGGGTTTGAATATCCCGCATAAAGAAATTGTCTGGATCTTCCACCTTCGTGTTGTTTATTGGAGTGCTAAACATGTCCTCGTACTGCTTTTTTAGGATTTCACTAATATCTTTGTCATCCTCCGTGTATGAACCTTCACTTGTACGAATAGGTCCAATACTGGCAGTGTTTTTTGCTTTTGATTTCGCATATGAGAAGAAATATTTTGGATTAAAAATAAAAATGGATTAAAATTTTGGATATTTTGGATTTAAATTATTCCTTCTTTGACGGGAAATTCGTGTCTGCATAAGCAGTTCCGTTATTTTTTTTCCTGCGTTTATAGTGTCGTCTGCGTTCTCTTTCTACGTTAGATCTCTTTCTGGCTTTCCTCAAAGGAACATGTTTCAGACAGACTTGATACGCTTCTGAAGTCAGTTTTTCTATTCCTTCTGTAGGACTTGTATTACTTAGAACAGTTCCCCATGGAATGTTTGTAAATTCCCTGTTTATTATCTCCCAGTCTATCCTTTTATTATTAAAATTGAATTTACTGAATAGCCCCTCTCGCTTTATCAACGTTTTAGGTCTATTCTGAGTATTGATGGTCGTTTGCACTTCAATGAGCTTGTGATCTGAGTATGTGGTATCTGATATCGTAATGTTTCTGATAATGTCTTCATTGTTCGTAAAGACCAGATCTAGAATATTTTCATTTCTCGTTGGCGCCGATATCTGCTGATTGAGTGAAAATTTGTCACAGAATCTAAGTAGTTCTCTAATCTGTGGTTGGTTAGGTCCTGATAGATTTCCTGGTATATTATTGTTTGCTATTTTCCACCTGAGACTAGGCAAGTTGAAGTCGCCTAGGAAGATAATATCAGGTATCGGGTTCTCCAAATTATCAAGGCTATTCTCTATTTTGCTTATGTTCTGTGAATTCCTCAGCCGTTGCATCTGGCGGTTTGTATATTAGAATAATCACAATTTATTTTCTCTATTTTTAATCCCAGTACCTCTACCACCTCATTTGTAACGTTTAGGAGCTCCGAGCATACAAGGTCTTCCCTAATATACAGACCCACTCCTCCATGTGACCTAATTTTCCTATCACACCTGTATAGGTTATATCCTGGAATCCAGATCTCACTGTCCAACAATTCCCCTGCATGGGTTTCTGTGAAAGCTCCAAATACTGCATTTGACTCCGCGAGGAGGCCATTTATGAACTGTACTTTGTTGTTCTTGTTTTCAGTCCTTGTATGTTGGCAAAGATTAATGAGGTTACTCTATTAGTGATAGTTTGAATGGGAGACTTTCGGCAAGCCCATTATGCGTGGACATAATAAGTTTGTTCTGACCAGTACTGATTGTTGTAGGGCAGTTGTCTGTCGTAGTTGTAGTTCCCTTTCGGTGGGTAATTGTATCTGTAATTCTGGAATGCAAGTGGATCTGACATCCAGTTCCATACTCTCCATGCTGCTCCTTTTGAATTCTCTGCCGGTCTGGTATAAAAATTTTAGTTTCCTCCAAATTCATTATCCTGCTTGCCACTCTTTATGTAGCGTTCCGTGCCTTTCTCGTGAAAGTGTGGGCAGCTGAGTTTGCGAAATTTTTGGAAGAAAACTATCCAAGGTAACTGGCAGAAGTGGAGGTCGTTTTGACAGTGTTAAAGGATTGGTTGATGGTACTGTTTATAGTCAAAATAGTCTGTACGTATAATGGGTGCGCAATCTTTTGTTGGTCTTCAGTGAAGTGTTTACCAGTGCTTTGTGGTGGGGGGCGGGGTAGACTAGCTTGCGCACTATGTATTGGATACCACAGTGCTATTAAAAGAATGAAATAGGATCAGTAGCTTATTAATTGGGTCTGCTAAATTATTTAAATATCTTTAAATATAAAAGGCAATGTAATATAATTATAGAGAAACTGCTAATCCAGTATCACTTTATTGCACTTAGAATTGATAAGTGTCTCCACTGTTCAGCATAGTCCAGCAACGCTGACAGCCGTGGGTGGAGGCGAGGCTAAGAGTGATGAGGCTACGAGTACTCCACTAAGTCAGTGTGGATAGTCAGGTAATGTTTAATGTCTTTATCAATACTCTTTGAAACTATTACTTTGTAGAGCAAATATTTACATTTGTACTAAACTTTTAAATGGAATGCAAATGAGTTGTCATTTAATTTGAACTTCATAATTATTTGCAAAATGAGTACAGAATTTTTGTAGTTCAAATATTTTAAAATGCATTAGGAATAGAATGTTCTGATATTAATTTTATACTTAAACATGTTAGCCAAGAGACGAGATCTGCAATAACATATGAAAGAGGCCAAAACAATAAGGTTGCACTAGTTCTAAATGTGCATAACTGGTAAACACTGTACAAAGTAAAATTATGCAATCAGACTTGAACCTAAAGCAAGTTTCTGTGCATGCCTTTTAGTTAAAACATTACGAGCTTAACTTTGAGATGAAGTATTTAAGATTTTAGAGCAAGTAGAGGTGGTGTAAGTAAGAGCCAAAGTTAATCAAATGCAGCAAGATGTCTGAAATAATATTATTTTGCAGCCCCAGCAGACGGTATGAGCGATGTTTGTAACTGCTGCTAAGTCAACAATACTTGGAGGCACTACAACGACGTCTGCAACACCATCGTTTCCCCCTGACCAATCACCATACATACAACCACGAGACTTTAAGTCAAAGTTCAGCAGGAAACGATTCTTTCTCAACACTCGGGACGGCAAACCACCCCAATGGTCTGCCCCAATTGCTGCCTGTTCTCTCGACTCAGATGCTCGGCATTCCGATCACAGTCTGCAATATCAGTGAACTGATGCTCTGCAACACCCTTCCTACGGACTCCCACCTGCATGCATTGACATTCGGCCAAGACTTGTGCCTCCCGGGACACAAGGCCTGTCACAGCCCCGCCAACTCGATGGACACGGCTGCTTCCTAGGTGATTCTGCCCCCCCCCCCCCCAGCCAGGCTTAACCTCCCGTGTTCAGTGTTCTTAACCCCAAAGGACGTCCTTACTAGTGCAGGGGAAGTGTCTTGCTTAGGATGTTGAGGTTGGGGGGTTATCTTCAGGTTACCCTGAGATGATTTCGGGGCTTAGCGTCCCCGCGGCTCGGTCCTCGACCAGGCCTATCTGGGTATCGTGGATATTCGACCAACAATGTCACGTATTTCTAAAAATACATGATTGATGAAGATTAAGCCACTCAAAAGGTGGTACGGGCATGAATAGCCCGTAAGTGGTGGCCTTTTTCAGCCATTACCAGTATCATTAGCTGATACTGGAGATCTGTGGAGGTGCGACTGCACCCTGCGTGACGGGAGGTGTCTGCCCCGTGAAAAAATACATGGGGACAGCCGAATTGACTTGTTTCATGAACTCTTCGATGCCCACTAATTACACAAGTGAACATACACTACATAATGGCAGCAAGTCATCCATAAACTCCAATGTACGACTGCCTTAATACATGCATTACCAAGGAGACTACAAGCCCTACCTCGTTCCAACACTTAACTCTGAACAGAAACCAAAATGTTCTGTCAAACACAATACTAGCCTTTAGCACACCAGACCTCGTCTAGGAACTACACTAGACAAACATTGCCGACGCGTATCTCTCACCAGAGACGCCCTAGAAATGTATCCCATTGACGCAGGCGCAACAATTAACTGACGCAGGAACAACAGACTTTTGAACCCAATACATGCATGTTCATGCTTACAACATTGCACATTTTATATACCACCATTTTCCCCACATGGAACACATTCACTCTATTGTATCATCATATCCATAGACACTTTGTTGGCTGTGGGTTCCTAGGTTACTTTTAATCCCACTCGGACTGAAAAGTTGCTGCCCCTTTTAAGGCTGCTGCCGCTCGCCTTGCTGCTTTGTCCTGTGGTTGGACACCCTGGATTGGGTGTCCCAAAAACGCCCTGCTAAATGCCAGCGTTGGCACTGTTAATTGCGACTAGTGTTCGGGACTTCCAACACTGCCTTGAGGATATATATATCCTCATAGAAAGGCCCTGGGCCTCAAGGCTATCTTGTGGAATGACTTATCCCCCCCCCCCTTGTGATCGTTGTCTTGGCTCTTCGTATTGATAGATCACTTTCTGCACCTGTCGATTCTATGGCCTCTTAAGTTTTCCTCTTGCATCTCCGACCGTCCGGTCCACCCCTCCTTCCCGTTCGTCTCCTTGCCCGGTTAGCGTCGCTTCTCTACCGACTCCTTTTTCCTCTGCCTACAGTCTCTTCGATGTCGTCTTTCTTCTCGATGTCTTTTTGTCCCTCCTCCGAATCTGTTTCCTGCTCTCGTTCCCCCACTCCATCTGAGTTAATGGAGGCCGTTGCCCAGTACATCGCTACTGGCACGGCCGTGTCTCAGAAATGGAAACCTGGTTCCTCCCCAGCGGGTAAGGCGGCTTCCCACCATTTCCTCTCCCGTCTCGGTTGATCTGGCTATGGTGGTTCCCGCGGTCCTTGATTCTGCCTCTAGTTCTGTTCCTGGTGACGTGCTCCCTGCCGTTTGTCGGTTGGCCCGTTCTCCCTCGACTGCCCTTCCTCTACTGACCCTGTCAGCTCGCCTCGGCTTTTTCCTCCAAAACTTGCACCCCCCCCCCCTACCATCTTTGCTGGATTTATTTCCCCCCCCCCCCTCCTCCCCTGTCTCCTTCCCCCCCCCTCCCCTGTCTCCTTTCCCCCCCTCCCCTGTCTCCTTTCCCCTCCCCTCCTCCACTGTCTCCTTCCCCCCCCCCTTTCCTCCACTGTCTCCTTCCCCCCCTTCCTCCCCTGTCTCCTTTTCCTCCCCCCCTCCTCCCCTGTCTCCTTTTCCTCCTCCCCCCTCCCTCCTCCCTCCTCCCCTGTCTCCTTTTCCTCCTCCCTCCTCCCCTGTCTCCTTTTCCTCCTCCCTCCTCCCGTCTCCTTTTCCTCCTCCCCCTGTCTCCTTTTCCTCTCCCCCCCCCTCCTCCTCCTCCCCTCCGGGTTCTCAACGCCGTCCGCCACGGCCGCACTCGCATGATCCCTTCCCGTAATAATACTTCCAACGCCTTGTTTGGTCCCGCTATGTGGGCTAAATACTTTGATCTCCACCATCTGGATTCTACTCCTCTTGACGATTTCTCCCTCCATAAACACTTCGTTGGTTCAGTAGATGCCTCTGTTACTTTGAACTCCACCAGTTACGGTACGCGTGTCGTCGCTGCTGCTCCTCAGGATGCAGCTATTCGCTTAGCCGCGTTGTCCTGCATTGGAGACCCCCTGTTAGGGTCTCCAAAAACGCTCGGTTAAATGCCAGTGTTGGCACTGTTCTCCTCCCACACCATGTTGCAACTGGTGTTCGGGACCTCAAAGATTGCCATGAGGATATTAAACATATCATCGAAGCCCAAGGACATTCTGTCCTCCAGGTACACACATTTACTCGACCCCCCTCGTGGTCGTCGCCGTCAGCCCCTTCGAGTTGTAAAAATCACCTTTGATAGTAGGACCCTTCCGCCCTCTATTATTCTTGCTGGTGCCAGATGCTCCGTTCAGGAGTACATTGCCTCTCCTAGACTTTGTAATAAGTGTTGGAAGTTCGGGCACGGTGTCCTAAAATGCACCAGTACTGTGTATCTGTGCCCCATGTGTGGGGACGATAGTCATTCTAAGTCCGAGTGCACTTCTCCCCAGGCTCGCTGCCTCAATTGCGGTAAAGCCCACCCTACCTTCTCACGCTCGTGTATGCACTACACACTCGAGGAAGCCGTCCTCAACTTGAAGCACCGTGATCGTCTGTTTTTTTCCTGAAGCGAGACGCCAAGTTCGTCGTCTCGTCCCTTTCGCGGGCGTCTCCTACGCTCGCGTGTTGCGTTCTACCTCTCCTCGTCCTTCCCGTCTTCCTCAGTCTCTCAACCGTTTCCAGGCCTTAAACCCGTCCACACATACCACTTCCTCCCCTATTCCTTTGCCTCCTGTCCCGGATAGTCTCCCTCCCGGTTCTCCATCTGGGGTTTCCCCCCTTTCCTACCCATATCTCCTTTGTAGTCTTCCCCATCTCCCCTACTCTTTCTTCCCAATCCTCCCCAGTCTCTTGACCCTGCACGCCACCTGTCTGTCCAGGCTGATATCCATCATCCTCCCAGCAATCTGTGTGTTGTTTGCTCCCTTTCCTCTTCTCCTGCTGAGACCATTGAGTCTGTCGCCCGGTATGTTGTTACTGGAATGCCTGTCTCTTAGTCAGAAACGTAAGCCTGGCTCCTCTCCTTCCTCTCCAGCGGGTAAGGTGGTTTCGCTTTCGTCCTCACCCCCTCCCTCTGACAGTCACTACATCCCCTCCCATTTCAGTGGTCGAACCCCTTGTCACAGATATGGAGGTTTCTTTCGCCACCGATTCCCTCTCCGTTGCTGCCCTTGCTGAGGTGCACTCCCTGCCTTCTGCCCCCCCTCCTCCAGCTGTCCTTGCCTGCCCCTCTGTTGCCTCCTCCTCCTCCGGACCCCGTCAGTCCGCCTCTGGTCTGTCCTCTTGCTCCCTTCCCTCTATCCTTACCAAGTTTACCCATGCCCCCCTAACCCTGATTTTGCCGACCCTGATCCTGAGATTCTTTAATAAACTGTTCTTCTATACCTTTATTTCTTTTTTGTTCTCTATTACTGTCCTTTCTCTTTGGTAATGTCTATTCTTCAGTGGAATATTCGTGGATTTTATGCCAACTTCCATGAACTCCAACTTCTAATTACACAGTTTTCACCGCTGTGTTTGTCTCCAGGAACCCATGCTTGGTGCTCGTCCTGGTCACTTTCGTGGTTATTACTTTCTAGATGACCTCCATAAGTGGTCATTTTCCCATCCTCGTTTCCTTTTTCTTTCCAGCCTCCCCTCTCCTTCCCTAGGTAGCAGTTTGCCGAGGCTGACTGGTGCCTATTCATCCTCCGTGCTACTCTCTGACCTCTCCTCTCTGCCTCTTCCTCGCGCCCTCCTTTTTTATGACACTGTCTTTAACGCTGCCCTCCACTCTATTCCTCGCTCTTCCTCCTGGGGTACACGGAAGTGCGTTCCCTAGTGGAATGCGGACTGTGCTCGGGCTGTCCGCTGTAAGCGTGCAGCCTGGAAGAAACACCGCCGCCGGCAGACGGCTGATTCTTTTACTCTGTTTCGGAAGGCAAGTGCGGTGGCCCATAGGACCATCCGTACAGCTAAACGTGAGAGTTGGAAATCTAATGTTTCCACCATTACATCCGATACTCCTCTGCCGCAGATCTGGAAGATCCGCAAGATTGCGGCCAAGTTCGTTCCGGATGTCTTGCCGGTTCTCCACCTCCGTGGTACTCGTGGTGGATCCAGTGCAGGTCGCGACCGAACTGGGTTCCCACTATTCTTCTGTTAGCTCTGGTTCTCATCTTCCTCAATCCTTCCTTCCTTCGTAAGCCTGTTCTTGAATCTTATCCTTTAGATTTCCGCACTCATCTCCGCCTTCCCTATAACGATCCTCTCTCTTTCTGAACTTCAGTCTGCCCTGGCCCTCTGCGGATCTACGGCAGCGGGCTCGGATGACGTTCATTATGAGATGCTTCGCCATCTCCCTCCGTGCACGTCTCGGTATTTACCGAGTCTGTATAACCAGGTCTGGGAGTCGTCGTCCGTCTCCGAGGACTGGCTCGATGCCATTGTACTTCCTATTTGGAAACCAGGGTGTCTCGGTACGTCCCCTAAGGACTTCCGCCCTATTGCTTTCAAGAGTTGTTTGCAAGCTCTTTGAGCGTATGGTCAATGTCTGTTTGATGTGGTTCTTGGAACACCATCGCCACCTCTCTCCTTCTCAATTTGGTTTTCGCAAGTGCCGCAGCACGACTGATGTCCTGGTGAACTTGGTCTATATTCGCACTGCTTTTGCTGCGAAGACCTCCGTTGTTGCTGTCCTTTTTTACTTGGAAAAGGCTTATGACACGACTTGGAGATATCATATTCTGTCCCAACTTCGTTCTTTTGGCCTTCGTGGTAATCTCCCTCTCTTCCTTCAAAGCTTTCTCTCTCGTTGTACCTTTCGAGTCAGGCTTAGTGCCACACTCTCTGCCTCTGTTCGGCAGTATGAAGGTGTGCCCCAAGGTAGTGTTCTGAGCACTACTATTTTTCTTGTTGCCCTCGATGGTCTTCTTTCCTCCCTTCTGGCATCTTCTCTGCTCTTTATGTTGATCTTACTCTTTGCTGTCGGGGTGATGATTCGCCTCTCCTTCAACGGCGGCTTCAACTTGCGATTGATGCCGTGTCATCTTGGGCCACCAATCATGGCTTCAAGTTCTCTACTACTAAGACTTGTGCTATGACTTTTACTCGGAAGCGGGTCGTTCTTCGTCACTGTCCCTTTATGGTCATCCCCTTGAATACAAAGATTCCGCAAAGCTTTTGGGGTTATTCTTTGACACTCGTTTGTCTTGGTCGCCCCATGTCTCTTACCTCCGTGTTGAATGCTCTAAGGCCCTTAACCTACTTAGGTTTTGTCTCATACTTCTTGGGGAGCGGATAGGCGCACGCTCCTCTATTTGCATTCCTCTCTCGTCCTGTCTAAACTGGATTATGGTTGCCCTGCATACTCTTCTGCTTCTCCTCCTACTCTTCACCGTCTTGATCCTCTGCACCATTCTGGGTTGCGCTTCAGCTCTGGTGCTTTTCGTTCAACGCCTACCCTCAGCTTGTACGCTGACACTGGCTTTGTCTCTCCAGGACCGCCGTGATCGCTACAGTCTTCGCTATCTTGCGCGATCCTTACAGCATCCTCACTCTCGCCTCTATCGTGCTTTGACTTTTACTTCTCCTGTAGTTCCTGTTCCTCTTCACCACCTTCCTCTTTGTCAGTTTGTCTCGCTTACAAGATTCTCTTTCGGTTCGTATTACCAATGTTTCTCCTCGTATTGTTCCCTCCTTGCCCCAGTGGAGGGTCCCCCTTCCCAAATTTTGTACTTCTCTGACCCGCATCACTAAAGCTTTTACCCCTCCTGCAGTTCTGAAATGCCTCTTCCTTGAACACTTTTCTTCTCACTCCCACTCCGTTCCCATCTTCACCGATGGGTCTAAGTCTGCTGACGGTGTGGGCTACTCTGTTGTTTTTCCTGACCACACTTATGTGTCGCCTTCTTCCGGAGGCTAGCATCTTCACAGCAGAACTTTATGCTATTCTCTATGCTCTTCGTCTCCTTTCCCGGTGTTAATCCTCCTTTGTGGTGGTAGTTGACTCTTAGTGCCCTCATGTCTTTAGGGTCCTTTAATCTGGTCCACCCGGTGGTCATCGAGATTCAACATGGCTGTTTATCTCCAGTAAATTTAAGTCAGTTGCGTTTTGCTGGGTTCCCAGCCCTGTTGGTGTCTTTAAATGAGCGTGCGGATGCTGCCACTAAGGACTTGTCCCATCCACACTTGTCCCATCTCCCGTAAAGGTATTCCTTATTCTGATTTTTACCCAGTTATTCATGCCTCCATCCTTGCCCGCTGGCAGAGTTGTTGGTCTTCTGTTATTGGTAACAAACTGTGTACTCTTAAGAGTCGTGTGTCCCAGTGGCCTTCATCCTGCCACCGCAACCGGCGGTGGGAAACGGCTCTGGCTAGGTTATGTATTGGCCACACCCATTTAACTCACGGT